ATCAACATATCTGATCTCGTTTTCCAGGATATCAATATTCATCATAATTTTACAAATATAAACCAATATTAATTTTTACTAAGTAGTTGATTAATAATTTGGAAGACTCTTGTTGCTGCCGTTTTTTCTCTGAACTGGATCAAGTTTTAAGGATAGGGTATAGGAAGGCAGAAATGATGAATATATTTTCTACAGAAGATGACAACTCCTTTAGTGTCAGGTCTAGGATCTTCTTCGCAACATAAGAAAATGATGTGCAACATTGTAGCATAGGTTTGCGGTCGTGTTTACTTGTAAGTTAACAGACAAACCAGACTTTTTGCTGAACTGAAATTGGGCTGTGATGGTGCAAGAAGAAACGTCGATGATGACCAGAGATAGTGTGACACGGCAGTAAGCTTGTAAAATTTATTTACGGGTTTACCAGGTTTTCTAAGTGATGCTCACATAGATGATTCTGGAAGTGATTGGTTAGTTTTTCTTACCAACATTGACTAATACTTGATAGTCGTGTAAATTCTGAGTATAAATGCCAAGGTTTTATGGCACCACGAACTTAACTCTCTGACCTTCACAAAATTCACTAACAGATTTTTAGTACAGTAGTAGCTTTTTATCACCGAATTTGATAAGTTTCTTGGAACAATCAGATTAAATTTCTCTGATATGAACAATTTTTAATCTACACAATTTTCTGTAAGAAATATTTCATCGTAACTCATAATTTTTTAACTGAAGAATTTATTTTTGTAACAATAGACAATAAATCAATATTAATTTTGAAACATTTCAATATTAAATAAAGAATAGATGTAATACATTTGAATGACTTTATGATCAACAAGTCGTTCAGGTCTTATTCATTAAAATTCTTTGTTGGAAAGCCTCGTTAATGTATAAATACATGTTTAATGTTGTACAAGAAATTTACACTGCAAATTCTAGTTGTAAACACTTTTAACACACTAAGCCTCTTCAACGTTAAATGTCGTAAACAGACTACAGATGTTTCACACACTATAAAATGTGTAAAAAGTGTCTCCAAATCATGCATAGTTTGTTAAATGGGCATTTTACATTGAACACACTTTACGCGTGTTATTTTAACACATATGTAAAATCTTAGGATTTGCAGTTTAAGTTTAACTAAATTAGAACGTTTTATTATTTTATGATTCTGAAGATCCCTCGGGATTTAAATAGTCAATTTTCTTACGACTTGCAATAATCACAATATTGATGCATAATCAATTAATACAATTAATGAAAATGCGACTTAAGCAGGTATAGGAAGAGGCACTTCATTAATAGGATGAATCCAATCGATTTCTCTCCGAATAAACTTGTATCAAATTATAAAGAACCTTAAGGATAATTATGAATTAAATTCAAGTTCATCTAGTATATTCAAACTAAAATAAAATTCAGTTGCGTTTTAGCTAGTTCAGATTAGTTTTATTTCTTCACCTCGGGTGACCAGTTTAAGGAATACATCTTCTTGCTGAAATTCGTAAGGAAACCAAGGGTACGAATATCGAAGAAGAGTAAATGAAGCTGACGAACCAGGCCAACTATTCTACCAATTCCATGGTGACGACCACCAACAATCTTAGAAGAGCAAAGATGAATAGGACGCTAACTTTAGAGAACTACTCGCATTAATCAAGAGTACGCAACCCTTATTTAAAAAAAAAAAATTTTTTTTCTTAAATCGTAAATAACTTTTCGATAATTGTAAAAAAAAATTTTAATATTACAACCAATTTTGCTTTCTTCTTTGGTAATTTATATTAATCAGAAGTATAAAAACTTATATTGGAGAAGAAAGTATTTTTTATCAAAATTTTAAATATTATAAGACTATTTCTGTTATAATATTCTGAAATATCAGTTATATATCCCAAAAAACATATTTTAATTAAGAGTGAACGGCTAATATGCACGCTGATTAATTGAACACAAATAATGTAATTTATAGCCTAATTCAATCAATTAATCAACTATTATAAATATTGTTATTACATAAAATTATTAAATAAAGACAAATTCTTTCGGTTATTTAACTTTTAATCATTTTCTTGCAAGATCAAATTAGCATCATCTTACTTAACTTCCTGCTGTACTGATACCTCTGTAGTTAGAAAGTACAAGTATAGATTATAATGTGATAATTTGATTTACAAATTGTTGAAACATTTCCAATTCATTTATACTAGTTTACATGGAATCATTTCTACAATTACTGTTTTGGGATTCATAAATTTATTTAAAGATATTTAAAGACAATACAAATTTTAAGACAAACTTGTAATCATAATGAATCAAATCTTATCAATAATACTCTAAATGTAAGTACAAAAGTAAAATACAAGAAAAAAACTGTTTATTAATTCATGGTAAATTTCATGACTTATAACAAATAGTTAAACTACTCAAGATTTATCAAGATAGTAATATGTCTGAATATGTAATCTTTCATTAACGTTTACATAAACTTGATAAAGTTTTAAACCGGATTTATGTTTAGACACGTTCTTAGACTTCACAAGAATTAGATGTAATCCGGTGTTGATTATTAATAAACAGAAGAGTTACATTTTGTAAATATAATACAGATAAAAGACGCAGTAGATTAAATATTGTTATTAAAATACTCTGTTGTGATTGATCACTTTTTTATTTATTTTTATCTATTTATATTACTACTCCATTATTTTCTACAATTCCTACTTTTTGAAATGAAATTTCTCAATATTAATGAAGTTATTGATTCATTTGTTCTAAAAATCAAATGAATTGTGAAATAGACTTTCTTTAACTACGTACGTGTAATTAAATTTTCAATTAGTTCTTAGAGGAAGAGTTTTGTCCTGGTTTCTCCTAATTTTTAGTCGATAAGCCTCTTACTAAAGTTAGACTGAATTTCTATTGTACCAATTTTGATTCAAAACAGGTCTTTGATGTGTCTTTGATAACTTTTAAACTTAATGGGAAAAATTTGAGAAAATCTTAAAAAATTTCGGATTCTTCGTACATTTTAAAAATAAAAATGCTAGTAAATTATTTACTGTGAAGATTTAAGTTCAGTGAATCTTCTGGCATTTCTCTGGACATAGTTTGCATAAAGAATTCCTTTGGTTGACCACATGGCAGCCTTTATTGACGTTTATTCTTTCAAATTTATTATTCATGTTAGAATGTTTTTTATTTAAAAATGATATAAGTAACGCTTATTTATAGAAATTGTAGGTAAATAACATAATGATTCATTGCTATAACAAAAAACACAGAGGAACCTACAGTTAAATATTTATTTATTGATTTTTAATAAAACAAAATTGCCGATATTGAATGTAAAAATCTGTTTATTATATTTTAATAATAAAAGTTAACATAAATTCATATAAATTTCTAAATTTCGTTGAACTAAAATGTTTTAATACTTCTTTAATTTTTTTTAGTCAGGATTATAAACTATGTATATGAATGTAATTCAATGCAAGTGAAAAATAATCCTATTAATTATTAATTGTATTGGTAAATAGCTTACAATTTTATTTTAAAAGCTGAATGTACAATATTTTATTCAATTCCTTTTTTAACGTGCTTTTCATGCCATAATTCGTTATTTTCAGAAGGAAAAACACAATTTTTTAAAATGACCTTATTTAATCCTTCATGATATTGACAAATTCACATAGATTTTTATATAATAGCTAAACTTGGATAATGAAAAAAAAAAACAAATTATTTATGATTTAAAAAATGGACTACTTAACAGTGTCCAATAAATGTATAATTTTGTACTTCATGAAATTAAATTTCACGTTTGAATTAAATTGCAATACACTGGAGAAATAGATATTCTGATGATCATTAGTAATTAAAATGATTACTGAATTATGAATATGCAAAATAGTAATAGCCAACCAAATCGATTCGTAAACGTTATTATGGATATTCATTTAAATTTAGAAATATTATCATATATTATTAATTTATTATCAGTTGTTACTGATGATTTTGAGTTTTTCTTGAGTAAATATGATTGAAAATTTAATTTTCACTCCACGGTAATATTATTTTCACTTGAGCAAGTGATCGATAATCAACTGTAGTTAAGATAGAAAACGTTTTCAGCTCATTGATAGCTGTTAAGTTAGGTTCAGAAATACAAAAGTTAAAAACTTTCAAATCTCGAAAATATCAAGACACATAAAGTACTTTGTACATAAACTAAAATTGAACATTAATCTTTTAAATTGTTAGAAAGAATAATCAGTGATTTTTACTCCAAGTGATACGATTAGCATAATGGTATCAATATTCACTGAGAATCAATGTATTCATGGATTCAATTTGCAAAAACATAGCATATTTTATTCATTAAAATATTTTTTATCATCAATGAAAGATTAATTATGAAAAAAAAAATGTCTGAATAAATACAATCAGGCGCAGAAAGTTTTAGAACAGTGTGATATATTACTGACCAAAAAAATTCATACCTCCAAACTGTTTTAGATAAGTCAGACCATTACTGGTGTGCGGTCAGGGGCATGGCTTGGTATTTCTCAGTGTAAGGTCATGGTAAAAGCTTTTTTTTCATTTTTGTACCCTTGACCGTATTATTCATTAGTACAAAAATTCAGAAAAAAATTATTCCCCTTTTTACTAATTTGTACACACTAATAATGAAGAAAAAAATACTAAAAATAATAATTTAATTGCATAATTATGAAGCGAGTAATTATGTAGTATTTTTAAAAACTCAGAGTGTAATTTTCTTTTTATTTTAGTTGTTAATTCTAAAAATAATTAAATACATTACTATTACTTGTTATTTATAATAACCACAAAAATAGTTTTGTTATTTATAATTATTTAAAATACATAAATAAATGATTGCATAATAATTTTCTAAATAAAACGAAGCAATTAAAATTCATTATTTAAAAAAAAACTTTTCAATAATCATCTTGATGCTTTTGCAAAATAGACACAATAAATTGGGTTATTTTTTTTAGATTTAACTTTCTGTCATACTGTAAACACTTATTGCAAAATTTATTTTAAAAATATTATTACTTAAAATCTGAAATAACGCATAAATCTTAGCTTCATAAATACATCTCTAGCTTAACATTTCATAAATTCGCGTTGAAATAATAAACCCCGGAGATCACATCTAAGCGTATTCAACAAATGGTTGAGACAATTTTTTCAATCCATCAGGAGGAATGACTTTCTCAGCAAGATTTCCAGTTCCTGGAAGTCGTTGCAATGGTACTTGAATTCTCTCCGCATAATTACTTGTTCCCGGTAAATGTGTATCAGTTGATAATTCTAGTTTTGATGATGGAATAGACTTTTCAGCAAGATTTTCAACTCCAGGCAACGATAGTTGTTCTTCGTCGTTTATTTGCACAGTAGGTTTTGAATACAAAACCGTGGGAAGTGCTGCAACTCCGTATATGCATAAGAACAACGCTGTGAGCTGAACATTAGTAAATACAATGAGAAATTAGTGTATCAATAATGAATGAATTATTAAAATAATTTTTAAAAAATTAGACAAAATTTGAAAATTGACTTACCTTAAACATGATGACTATCACGCGAGGTTTTAAGCACGACTGGTCTGAAAGATCCAGATCTTGTCGATGACACTACAGTTATATAGGTACGCAACGCATGGCTGAGCTCACACATGATCCTCACACCGGTTTGACGACACCAATCGAAATTTTATTTTCATGACCTGACCACTTGTCGCCTAAAGCAATTCAATTTTTTTTCAATCATTTTATTTATGTCATTATTTTTTCTCTCTTTGTTAGCCAAACTGGATCTTCAGCCCATTTATGTTCATCGCCTAGTTTATCTCTAAGGCAGATATACATATGTATATGTATATGCTGAATTCTATTCTCACTTATCCCATAATTTATTCTTCGCATAAAATGATGATTAAAATAGGTCACTTACCTGGTAAACGGATTCTGAAAATTGATTGCCTGCTAGTTTTTCATCGTTATTTTAAAGCAGCTGATCACTTCTGAGTGTCCGCTAGTTCAGATGAAACACTTTCTTTATGTTTAATTGTTGTTTTTATGTGAGATATTATTTATTAACGCGCCTAAAAGAACGGTGTTAAAAATAACCTGATTTATGTTTCTTTAACGGAGGTAAAAAAACTTAAAATTTCACTGTTTAGATTTTTGGGTTCTAGAAAAAATTATTGTTTAAAAAAAGAAACTAATAAGTATGTTTCTAGAGTAATTCATTAAAAGTAGAGTGATCGAAATAAAGACTTTATACCCATTTTTTAAAATACATGCAGCTAAACCATCAACATCTAAAGTCAATCGCATAAGAAAATTTGATGAATCAGATTGGGATTTACGATTCTTCAAGATGCTGTCTACAAATGTGGTCTTATTTAGCCAAAATGTTAAATTATGAAACTAAAATATCAGAAAAGCTTGAGAAATTTTTGTTTTCATAAAAACACTTTTTAAAATTTATTTTTAAGTTAAATAAGTTGAATATTGAACAAGCACCAAAATCAATCATGATGATTTTTATAATAATAGATTGGTTATGTTAAGAAAAATACTTATTCATTTTTAAGAGAAAATTTTTCCAAGCTTTGTTGTTATAAATATTTGTATAATTATATAAAAGACATTTTAAAATGAAATTAAATCAATTACATTCATGTCGTTCATGTAAATGGAAAACGTTAACAAAAATGGATTCATTAGCTTTGCAGGATTGATTGAATTTAGCAAGTTCATAGATTGAATAAAATATATTGTTCCAATTTCTTTTTTAAGAATTTGATATAATAATTTCTTTCTTCTGACATACTTGGAAAATATTAATAAAAAATCCATCTTAAGTGAAGGTGCACTTTTCTATTGTTCTTAAAATAGTGCCGATTCAGTAGAGTACTTTGCATTTTTCATTGAAATATCTTATGTACTATCAATAGTACATCGAAAAATGGCGTGGGGTTACATCAAATAAAATGAAAAAGATACTAACTTAATAAAATGAAAAAGATACTAACCTTACAAAAAAAAACCCACGCTACTTTACTCGCCAATATTGAAGACGTTTCTTATAATTGAATGTCTTATCAAAGTCGTTCCATAAAAACTTTACAGCAAAAAATATTTCCATTTGAGTTATTTTTCAAAAGAAAAAACAAAAATCTACTTTGATTCCTCTTCGCTAAACAAATCTGAAAATGTTAAAAGTAATTTTAAAATCACACTCAAAATAAGATCAATAATATTCTCTCATAAAATGGAATATCCCAAAACATAACAATAAAGAACTAAAAAGTTTAGAGTACCCGAAATATTATTAAATCTTTAGTAACCTGTTTGAAAACTCAGTTATTTATATTCTGAAAATTAGGGCGATTAAAATGATGGAAACTTAACAGCCACCTGACAAAGTTAAACTTCCACACACGTACGTAAGCAAGTATTGTTTAAATCACGAAGGGAATTGTTTTACGGTACATTGGAGATGACTTAAATTAAAGTAAATTGAGCTGGAGGTATGACGTACATACTGCGTCATTGTTAGTAACTAAAAAGCATGAATTTATCCATTTCGTGATTAAAAATTAAAGATAATCGATAATTAAAAACAACAACCCTTTTCACGAAAGAAAACTGATGCTATTTTAAAGCGAACAACATCATAGGTGTATCATAGCGTCATATATTTCCCATACACACTTGTCTAATCATCCACGACTGCGCGACCCTTGTCGGGTCTATAAAAGAGACGTCGAGTATTGTAGCCTTCCAGACGCGAACACGCGTATCGCTGAAAATGTAACCGTGGAATTTAAAGCTTCTGTTTTACGTTAACATTCGCAACAAGCGTTCATTATCTATGAAAATGTGGTAAAAATTGAAACAATTATAATAAAAAAATAAAACAAATCATCATCAAAGGAAACAAAATTTTTTCCCAAGTGACAAAAAAATGTGAAAAGATGTTAGTGCACTCATAGAACTCATCAATTATATTGTTAATACAACTGCCAAAATAAGAGAGTTACACTTTAAGACTTGTCACAGTCACTAATAAAAGCATTTTATTTGACTTTCAACATTCAAGCTTGATTATCAAGGTAAATAATATTGATTTAGATATTCAGTAATTCTTGGCTATGATATTATTATCTTAATAAATGTAAGTGTTGATATAATTTAGGTATAAAAACAGCTATGATTTTATTTGAAGTGTGCTAAACGCACGTGCACACGTGAGCATATTAAATATTACGTGCGTCTATAATTTTTCGGAGAATTAAAAATAAATACGGAAAATCGTACAGCTAAAAATAAAACGTATGATGGCAGTTTCAGGATCATAATGAAGTGACCTCGAACAATAAGTTGTTTTTCGGTAGTCAAAAATAAAATGAAGGTTTTATGATTTATAGTTCATGAAATTATTAATAATAATGATGAAGAGTTTTATTTTTATTATATGCCGAACTTACTTTAATTAATTAATGAGTTTATTAGTAACAATTATTCAATTGTCGGAGAAAAGAATAAGAAAAAATAACTTCAAAGTAAAATTTGTAAAAGATTGTCAATGATAGTTATTGAATGGGATATAAGTACGTTTTTTAGATGAATATGTCAAGTATTGAAGCCAAACATATCGCGCATATCTCGTAGTAACTGCAAAATACAGCAACGCACTTTTGGACACATTCCAAGTACCTCGTTGACAACTTGCCAACGAATATCGATTTCTTACAAAATAAGTAAAGTAAATAGATATTTGTTATCAACAACATAAAGACAAAGTTGAGTCTTTGTTTTTCATATTAACATTTGACCGAACAAAAAACAATTAATACGTCGATCGTTGAACAGCATCATGTAGAGAATTCTTTTTAGAGAGAAAGAGCGACAGTGGAGTGAGAAAGACGTAGACGATGACGCAAACAACCCCTCTTAGGGGCTAGGTATAGCGAATAGGTGAATGAAACCAAGGGTTGAAGAATTTATCGCGTCAATTTATAACTGAATAAAGGTCAAATAAGCTGATAGTTGTAGGCATAAACTATAATAAAGAATAGTCAAATGTATGACCATCAAAGTAATAGGAATTTTCTTTGTTACTTACAGATGAAGCTTCACGAGAAAGAGTCAAGTATTCATAAAGTTCAAGAAGTCGTACTGAAGGAAATTGATCTCCTTAAGGAATACGACGTGGAGAAGACTTTAGGAGAAGGTAGTTTTGCTAAAGTTTTATTAGCTACACATAGACAAACCCAAACGCGAGTTGTGCTAAAAGCTGTCCATCAAGAGCTGACTACAGAAAAAGACTTCTTTAGAGAATTTCACTACTCATACCATCTCAGTCCACATCCAAATATATTAAGTTCTTATGCGGTGGCTTTTAAGGCTGAAAAATGCTACATTTTTGCCCAAGAATATGCACCCTTTGGAGATCTTGCCGGTAATGTCAAAGCAGGTGGACTAAGTGAACAGACTTGCAAAAAAATAGCAGCACAATTAGCCTCAGCATTAGATTTTCTTCATTCAAAACAACTCGCTCATCGTGATGTTAAACTTGAAAATATTTTGGTGTTTACTCAAGATATGTCGAAAATAAAACTGTGTGACTTTGGTTGCATTAAACATGAAGGTACATTAGTCAATAAAATTAGATGTACTTGGGTATCATTTTTACCACCTGAAATTCATGAGGTAATAAAGAATGAACGATATACCTGCAAACGCAGTGCAGACTGCTGGCAATTTGGCATCGTTCTCTTTGTCTGCCTTACTGGAAATCCCCCTTGGAAGAGTGCCGATCCAATTCAAGATCCAGACTATTCTGCGTTCCAAAGATGGCTAAAGAGAAGAACAACAAAAATTCCAACTACATTCCGGAGATTCACTCCACGACTACTAAGGTATTTTCGAAGAATTTTCGAACACAAGCCTGAAAAGCGAGCCATTGTCACGGAGATTAACAAATACTTGAAAGATACTTGGTGTATCAGCAAGCTAAATCACAGTGCTACATCTACTTCAATCGAAGTCAATGATACTCAGACTGCCCGAAGAGGTGATAGTCTCCTTTACCTTGATACCATCGTCGATGAAAGGCTAAATATCGACGAGAATAAAAATAAATTACGGAAACTACTTAACAGCTATGGTCTAGAGACTGCAGTTGACCAAAAAGTCGTCACAAAGAGGATTTGGGAGTGGATAATGCAATGTGATTCTAACATCGAAGATATTCAACATGTGAATTCATTTGGTACTGAGACCATCTGAGATATGGTTAGGTCTTCAAGTGAAACATGTTTGAAACCATCTTCTTGCCAAAACCGACAATTGAGTTTTGACAGACTCAATGTGCCCGTTGTTGAGACCAATTTACGTGTACAATCGTTTAGTTCTCAGTATTTACCGGGTTCTCAGTATTAATTAAAATGTATATTCTTACATTTTAAAAATATTTAAACAAGTTCATCAGTGCCAAAAATTTGCTAAAAATTTTTTTAATTACTTTTCAATTACTATTGAATATTTATTCAATAACAGATACATAATTGAATAAAATTCATCGATAAAATTCTAATCGAAAATTCATTAATTGTATATATTTATTTATTTCACAGTACTATGTAATTTTAAGCTAGTGACGAAAAGACAATTGTTACAAAGTTAAATATACAGTCGTCTATATGACAATAAGATTATGATAACCATCAAAGAACTATCTTTTATTATTATATTGTCTGTAGAAAATATTAGTTGAAAATATTCTAGTCAGTCATCAGCCATTATTGTGTATGGTTATGGATATAGGCCTAATACTACCAAATACCTGCAAATACTCACGAGGTTTATTAATCAATTGGCAACGAAATACCTAGTCCAATCACGTACTAGGGCAAGATTGGGTATGATTATTTAAATTAAAATTTGATTAAAAAATTATTGCTTTAGTTACAATTGTAATTAAAACAGTTTTCTATAAATTTCCTTTCTAGATTTATTATCTTTGTATTGTAAATAGCAAAAAAACTCAATACAAGTTATACATCAGAAAAGTCATTAAATGAAACACTGAGGAAACAAGACAGTTTTTTGCCAATATCAGATCTTATATCAACAGATCTAATAAGATGTCAATTATATAAGTTGAAAACGGTATAAATCTAAAAATCTTACGGTTTAAAACTGGAGAAATGTGTGAACGAAGCTTTACATCAGTTTTGATCAGATCTAATCTTTGATTTAAATTGATCTGATAAATTCTTATTTAATGTATTTTTTTCCTTAAATTGATTTTTAAATATCTTCAATCTTTAAAATTTCTATTTAATCGAATCAGATTGAAAAATGTCATATTGAAAAATTATTTAGACAATTATTCGTAACTATTTGTCAATAATTCAATTATTAGCGACCAAAATTCAAATTTTTTAAATTTCTAAATAACATTGTCAATATTTTTTGATAAATATCTCAATTCATCCATTTATCGAGTAATATTTGATAAAAATATCATAAATTATGTTTTTATATCAACAAAGAAATAGATGTCAACAAACAAATACTGTCTCACTTCACCCCAGTGTCCCATTTTGAACTTTTTCCCCTCAATTAATTTATTATCACATCTTTCTTAATGTTTCTTAAATGTTACACTTTATACATATAACTACTATCGAAAATGAATTGCAAGAGAACCCAATATACTACAATTAATAATGAAATTTAACTGAAGCTTCCAATGTTATTATATGAAAAGAAGGATTGAGTAAAAATTACCTTGCAAAATAATAAAATTTACCCTTCCAGATGACAAATTTTATCATCTGGCAGAGTAAAATTTACTTTGGTCCCTCGATTCCCCGGAATTGCAGGGTAATTTTTACTCAATTCTTATTTCCGTGTATAAACGCGTTAGATCGCGTATATATTCTTATAGAAATATTTTATTTCAACGTATTGTTAAAGTAAATCATAATTATATTATTTTATAGAAAAAAATAACGTTGATAAAATTTTCTACAAGTGATGCAATTATAAATATAGTTAGAAATCTAAATGTTGAAACTGAACGACTAGAATATAATTTTTTTTTATTTGAAAGCGAATAATAATATGAAAACAAAACCTTGAAATAAAGACTGACGTACTGATAATACAATCAAGAAATCAATAAAGAATTCAATGAGTCTTGGGTCCAACATGATTTGTGAAATATATTAAATACTGAATCAAAGTATTGAAAATGCAATAAATTCATTCAATGCACCATTTTTATTAAAAAAAAAGCGTTCAGAATCAACATTAATAATCTATTAAGTGTTTAGAATAATGTTAATTTTATCCAGAATAATAATAATAACTGTGCTATTATGTAATTTGTATCGATTTAGCTACGTACATAGAATATTTTTAAAAAAAGTATATTGTAGTTAAGACATTATATTTCTGTGGTGCAATCGTGATAGCTACGATTTGTAGTTTGTTTACCATGTGAAATAAAAAACGTTTCTACCTTTGTACATTTTCTGACACGATCTCAATAAACGATTTTTTTCCAAAATACGTCAACGTTTATCAAGATTATTAATTTAAAAAGTAAAAAATAATAAAGGTATCATATGTTTGTAGATTATTATCAAGTGAAATATTTTGTAAATATCAAAATAAAGAATATAATACATTTTTACTTCATTCTGAACTTTTCTAATAATTCATCAATACATGTTGTGGAGGATTACTTTTAATCCAATCATCCAAAGTTCTTTTAAAAATTGTACATAATATATCTAACCCGATCAAAGGTCAAAATAAAATGACTATTATCAGAATATTCCATCCCGTTCTCTGTATTAGTTTGGGCTAAATTCAGCTTTCCAAGACCCGAGCTATTCTCACCCTTTGGTGAGGGATGGGGCGTTTCCATGACTACGAAACCTAGATACCCGAGAACCAGGATTCCCGACCTCACTCACTGAATCTTCTTTTATCGCAAATTTATTATTGACCGATTGATATTTAATGATAACCTCGCACTCTTTAGACAAGGTAGCTATAAACAAGTTCTAAACCATCCGGTCTCTGGAGAACCAATCTAGAACCCTTGTTTCGAATTTATTTTTGTTTTTATTTTTTTCAATTCTGGTAATAAAGTAATCGTGAATAAAAATTTTCCAATACTACCTTGAAAGCTGCTGAATGGACTTTGATTGAAAAATGTTTTTCTACATGTCTTATTTGTTTTCAATTTTATTTAAAAAAAAAAGTTTCCAATGAAAAATTAGCACTTTTTTGAGTAATTCAATAATAACGTAATATAAATTAATCATAAAATCGAACCTATTCCATACTTACTTTAAATGGATTAAAAAAGGTGATAGAAGAATACAGTCAAATATAATATTAGAAAATATGATCTTGAAAAATATTTTTCGATGATAGTGGTAATCTTGAAACGAATATAATATTAATAGACAATAAATCAATTTTATCATCCAAAACAGCATGAATGTAATACATTTGAATGATTTTATGATCAACAAGTTGCTCACGTTTTCTTTATCACTACCTCTTCTTGGAAAACCTCGCTCACGTATGCATACCTGTTTCTTGTTGTGCGAGAAATTTAAGTTTAACTGAATTAGAAAGTTTTATTATTTTATGATTGGAAAGGTTTCTCGGAATTTCGATAGCCAATTTTCCCGTGACTTACAAAAATCTTGATAGATAGATGAACATGCAGAAATTTCGTTCTCTATATGGCTTCCAGACCATGACCCCCAGAACCCTTTCCAATCATATCCTCATGTTTTTCCCATCTAACAAAAGTCATCAACCACCTTATTGTTAATTGCAAACTATCAATAGATTTAAACGATTCCAAAGATGATAAAATTTTACAATTTGTCAAACGACAACAATAACTTTAATTATGAAGTTATTAGTTCTATGAATTCTTTAAAAATTAAAAATCTTGAAATTGGTCTAAGGTATTTTTATTTTGACACTTCTGTTTACTAGCAAGAGATACCAAGAATTAATTATTTTACAACTAAATATCTATGGAATAATTCAGAGATCTCTTTACATGCGTGATAAAAAAAATTAAATTATAACTCTCAGAAGTACCTTAGTATGCCGACAGTATAACTGAGAGTTACTAAGAGAGATCCTCAAATAACTCAAAATTATGAATTATTCGTAGTAAATCGAATCAGACTATTTGATTCCAATATCGAATTGAATATTCTTCAATTTAGAAACCTGAATTATTCAAAAGTCATGGATTATTGATAGACGGATGAAAATAACATTCTGCTCCAAACCAACATTTCCATTCATCTTAGATAGGTAAATTAGCCGTATGGTTTTTTTTTAATAATTCAATCTAAATTTAAATTCTTCATAAGTCTATAACTTAATATCGATTATTAAACGTGAAATTAATATTAGTCAATAGGTATTGAATTAAATGGAGTAAGTTGGTAAAGATTGGTCATAGAATATAACATTTATTCAATCAAAATGAGATATCATAAACACTATACGAAGAGAAGAATCGAGTAAAAATTACCTTACTCAACAGGATAATTTTTACTCAATTTTTTTCTTCGTGTATTAATTAGGATAATAATCAAATTTATACAAAAAAAATCGAAAAACATTATTTTCCGCAAGAGTTGAATAATTTTATTTAACAAAAGAAACAGTATTGTTCTACTAAACAAAAAAAAATAATTCAACGTTTAAATGATTTCCAGTATCCCTAAAAATAACCACGAAAAGAGCCATTTCTTCTTTATTTTTCTAATTATTAAGAAAGTTAAAAAGAACATGTTCCTAAAAGCTCAACTAGAGCCAACAGTACAAAAATAATTGTTATAACTTTCTAGAACATTCTACGTAGCCTAATTTATCCTCCTTACATTTCTTCCCAACAACAAATAACTTCATTTTAATCCATACTGCTATTGATTTTGAAATCAATTACAATAACTTCCTCTACTTTCATTACTTTCTCGAAGCTCCGATAAGTTAAGAAAGTTTGTTATATGAAAGAAAGTCAAGCACATATGTCCGATTTACTTTAGCATCGGAAAAGTTGAAGAGGGATGCAGTGACTTATGATTATATCGCGCGTCAGAAGAGAATGATCGATCTTTATCGCTGAGGTCCAACGGCCCGTAGTCTATTTTTGTGCTTTCAAATACTATTTATAAATCATCATACGGACAATGTTCCACTTCTATCAGTCTACGACCCGGCATCTTGCATCAGTTGCGGCAATATTTAACCACCCGATGTGATGCAGTCGTGTATTTCTGTGGTGGCCGATCTCGTTTTACGACGTTGCTTTATTTCACTGACGTCAAACACTGAACAGAGATGCAACACATTAACCAACAGCAGCCAAGAAGTCTGTTGTATCAGCACATTCGGTGACAGAGAATTTGGTTTCTAAAGGCCACTCACACTCGTCAGGAAGTTCAAAATCCTCCAACGTAAGCTGCTTGCTTGAATCTGCAGATTACATACTTAAACACCCATCTGCATAATACCAATGACGTTTGTTATTTTATTACGTCGTTTATGCATTATTGTAACACGAAAATAATATATTGATTTTGAGGAAAATGAGGCTACGACTCTTTCATAATGCAGAAAGAAAAAATCTGAAGGGAGAATATATTATATTTTATATATAGAAATAGTATAAAGGAAATCAGTGTGAAACGTATACATTAACTAATGATAGGATTTCATCATTTATTTAAGGATTTGATTGATTCCAGAATAAAAATGATTGAATCATGCACGACGAAATTGATTGAACTACTTTTCATGATAAACATCCAGTTATATTTTGCCAAAAACATTATTTAACACACGTGGCAGGTGGTTTTTTTGAAGTGGTTATAAAAAAAGAAAAATCAAAAATAAAATGATGAACAAAACAGCGAACGTCTGAAAGAGAATTTATTTCTGCTCTTGTGCTTCGTAGAAACTTCTTAGTAGAAGCACTTAGTCTTTACTACAAACAAATTACTGTGTGAATATGTTAGACAAGCTACTGGTTAATGCTTCTGATTTCCAAGATTTCACTCTAAATCTGTTCAATTCAGCTGCAAGTAAGTTTATATAAATTTCAAAGCCGACAGATACTACCGAGTCTGAGAAAACCAAAACTGAATAGCAAATTAAAATATTAACAAGAACTTCCAATTTTATCATTTCACAGAAAGAATAATAGAAGTAAATTACACTTAACTGGATTTCTTGTCATAAAATAAATGAAAATTTGTTCTAAGATAGTTGACCTTAGGGGTAGGATCTATAAATCTATTTTAAGAGGGGCTGATGATTGTTGAGTGAGGGTTGGTGCTTATACAAACGTATTCAAAAATAAGTTTCAGAGAATAACAGAAAAGTCGTGAGCTTCATTTTTTTCTATTTTATTTTTTTCGCAAGAATCATTTCCTGTCGTATAAATATCATCTATTCGCTTATTTATGAATATTGTCTCGAAATAAAAAGCTTTTGGATAAATGAAAAAGAATTTATTTCTTCTCTATCTTTTTTAAACAAACTAAATATTAGCTTAATTTCTTTAATTAATTAAAATACAATGACCTCAATCTCTCATTTTTATATAAAAATACTTTTTTGATGTGTTAGCGGAATTAAAACTTAGGAATTCTAATATTAGCTAATGAAACGCGAGAAATATTGCAATGAATCTCATAAACTTCTCTTCTCGTAAGAAATAAATTCTACAATAAATTTCTGCGAAACATTTTTTTTAATAAGTTATGCACCTCTTGTATTTTTAATTGAATATAATTAAAAAACAACGACATTTCAATAGATTAAGTGCGAAATAGTAATGTATAAAAATGGCTAAAATCTATCTTTATTAAGTTTATTGGAAATTATCCAATTAATAAACATAACTCACGGCAATAGAATCTAAAACATCAACCTTTGCACAATAGAAATACAAAAGTCTCAAATACAGAGAGATGTAGTGACGTCAGAATCGTCATGGCAACACCCCCAAGGTGCTCAGTATTCTGTTAACTGTATATGTCTACTATAAGTACATTTAACACTCATCAAAGACAAAGATACCTAGTATTAGGAAGCAACATTCAGCCGTAATATTAACTGAATTAATAACAAATCACAGATCTAATTTTAGATACAGATTTAAATCATCCCACGTAACTGTCTATCATTATGTTATTTTTGACATTAATGCTGTAATCAATATAATATTAATAGTAAAAGAGTGTATTTGTTTACACCATTGAGACATTACGGAATTAGCACGTGTATGAAAGGCCAAGACTGATAAAATCAGAATATTACAGCTCGTTTATAAAAATATTTATATTTTGTTGATTTGACTTTCTTTAAATACTTTTTGGAAAATGTACTTGTCAAATTATCGTTGTTAGCTCATTTTATTTCCTCCCAAATTCTGTTGAATTCGATTATTAAAGGCTTAACGAGTCCAGCTTGATTAGTAATAATGATGCCATCAAAATTTCCAAAAAAGGCTTGCATTGTCCAATTTGTACTACCGTAAATCATGATTTTCTGGTCAATTATTCCAAATTTATGGTGCATTAGAGAATCGGCAGAACGTGCCATCCGTACTAATACACCTAGAAAACGTTTTATTCTTATAAATAAATAAAAGACTTAACGAATTGATTACAAAAGTGACATAATTAAATAATTTATGAGTTTATATCTCACCTGCATCCCTCATTTGATTTAATTTATTCGCACAGGCCTCATTTTCAGCCATACCCGCATCAACAATAATTCGAACATCAACACGTCTTCTCTGTGCTCTGATTATTGCTTCTGCAATACTTTGGCATGTTATTACATACATACAAATATCAAGGGTATGCATACTAGAGTCCAAATATGAGATCAGTTGTCTGAAACAATCAAAAAAATGGCATAGAAATAAATTCATACTGATTATTATTGCAAGGGTAATATTTTAATCAGTTGTTGATTCAACCTTTCAGTATTCAATCTCATAAAGAATTTGAACACATACAGTTTGAAATAACAAAATAGAAAGGTTACAGTTTACACAATAAACGTTCTATTAAATAATGGCATCAACAATGTGAGCAAAAACCTTTGTAGTTATTTTTATAATTAATTATGCTAATAATTAATTCAAGCGAGTATAACATCGAGAAATCTAAATTTAAATCAAAATCTATTTTAAGTTTATTACTGTCCAAAGCGTTTAAAATTTTGGTTGATGTAAAAAACAGAAATATACATAGAGATTTGAAATGAAGTTTCAAACTAATTAAAACTCAAAGTCAAGACTGAGATTTTACTTTGACAGTTTATAACTTGACTTGAAGAAAGTAAAAAAATATTTGCAGAAATAAATACAAGTTTCAAAATGTTTAACTTCAATTCAAAAAGACACTTTTCAAGCCACTTGAACTTGTTAAATTTATAAATAATTTAGTGAATATTATTTGCACTACTTTTTGCTCATACTAAAATGAAAATAAAAAATACTAAAAAGAAGTTAATAAATAATCTTTTTATAATTCATCAGAATTTTCATTACATCTTTAATTTCCGAATAATGAATTCACTTATAATGTAACGTTTAATCCTAATGTAAATCTGCATTTAAAATTTACTTCACTTTACTTTATCATACTAATCATGTTTTTTCTTTTTACTTTATACCAATAGATTCCAATATTAGCGAACTAAATGCTCATACATTTCTTCTATGAAAAGGATCTCGTAAGTTTTATGCGAATTGGAATATTCAAAAAGAAATATCTAAAATATAATATAATTTAAATGAGATTGAATAAGGGAATAATGGGTTTATATAAATTCACTATGTAACATCTTTCTTCCGAGATGTGAGCATAAAACCTGTTCCTCAATATAGTAAATGAATAACTAATACCCTGGAAAAACAAGGGTGAGTATAAATAGAATTGTAATTTATTTTGATATCACATCATTTCTTTATATTTCCTGTATATACTGTTTCCATTATAATCTGCACATAATGATTGAAAAAGGAAAGTTATTCTAACTTAAGAAGGTTCTTTTTCATTCATAAAATGTTAATGCTGATTTATTTGGTTAATTTCTAAGTGATGTTTAGAACAATAACTTTTACATTTAAGCATTAATGAACTATTCATACTTTGGTATGTAGCTTTACTTTAACTAACTTTACTCTTTAAGAAAAGTCGGCCTTTACAAAACGGATTTAAACTTTAATGGGATTTTTGTAGAAGGTTAAAGGTCGAGTGGAGCAAATATTCTAGATAGAGCAAAAAGTAATAGCTATCGATAGCCTTTATTGCCATTTTTGTTTTTATTTTTTATCAATTCTAAAATTAAATTTTATTCATTTTTATGGGTATTGTGAAAGTATTAATAAAAAAAAATTAATTATAGTTATTAAATGGACCTCACTTATTACATGTACTTCACTTTACACTACCTATAGATATTTATATCATTCAGAAATAGAATTTTCAATTAACTAGAGTTAACTAGAGATTATCCAACTTTCGATTAAATATATCTATTCGAGAAATTGCAAACATTTTATTAGTCAATATTTATGCCTGCAACTGAAATGGATTTTAAGAATATCCTATTCAAATAAATGATTAACAATATACTGAAGCGAAGTTTTCTATAAAGTATAAAATTTGTGATTTATATTTTTCTTTTTTTTGAACGTCGGTTTCAATGTACTTTTTGTAACTTTTTTAGAATTTTATCGGTTAAAACATTTAAAAGTTAATTGAAAAGTCTTTCATTGATTAAGTTTTTTCATGATGAAAATTTTATAGTGAACAATTTCTTTATTAAGCTAAGAATTGTTATTTCTTTCTTTAAATAAATTTAATAAAAACAACCTTTTTTTCTTTTTTTTTTAATGTTTATATTGTTTTAAAAATAAGGAAGGTTCTTAATTTATTTTCACTGATAGTTAACTCTTCTACTCAATTTTTTAGAGCTTTAGTAAATCTCTATTTAGGTTAATGTAGTGGAATAAATATTCCAAATAGATCGACAATATCAATCTTGAACAATAATGCCTCTCTACCAATTCAAACTAGCGAATTAACTTTAATTTATTAATAACACTTTAATTTTAATAATTGAATCTATTTTTTAATTATTGATGGATTTCAAGTTTTATTGAACAGAATTTAAAATAACCTAAAAATATTTTTCATACTTTAACTTGGCAGCTGGACATTCATTATTGCAAGGATTACCGAAAGCATGATTCCGACAATATTTTGAAGCATCAGAAAAAAGTAACACTTCAGAAATTGTTTTTTTGTTATCAGTTAATTGTAAATTGTTTCTGTACTTTTTGATAAGATGCCACACTAATTCACTAATAACTAAAACTACTCCACCAAAAATTGATAAATATATCCATTTTTGTGCCATAATTGTTTATTTGCTCTCAAGTAATAGTTATTAAAAGAATAAACAATTCTTTGATAATTGATTTTTGTTTTTATTTATTTGACACATGTCAATCCTTTTCATCTGATTTTCAACTACAAAAATGGCGCTGTCTGTCAAACACTTCGAAAGATTAACCTTATGTCAATAAAGTAATTTCCCTTCCAGTTATTACCGTAAAAAGATAAAGTAAATGTTCTGAACGAATTGTCGCACATGCGCATTACGACAAAACGTGGCGCCACTAGCGATAATTCCCATGATGCTTTGCGAAGCTCATCCGGCTTCTTCCAGAAACGTGAGATTCATTCGAGTCTCTTTGTCGGCAGACGCGAACGTGAACACAGTTTTCTAATAAGTGTGCGTCTACGTAACGCAAAATTAGAATAGTTTGCCTAGTTTTTACTTTTTGTTTATAATATTAATTAAGTTTTAAACAAAAATAAAAACAATGGCCACAGAAACTACTCAAGAAGCATCAAATGTAAAAGCAGAAGGTAATAATGAAAATAATCCACGATCTGGTGGAAACCAGAGTGGCGGCCAAGGCGGTGGTAGTGGCGGAGGAGGAGGTGGAGGTGGTCGTGGTGGCCGAGGACGTAAAGGATCACGATTTTCTGGTGGTCGAGGAGGCTATCAAGGCGGCGGAGGTCCTAGGAATAATGATATGGCGGTAAGATCCATTTTCATTCACCACTTGGCTGAAAATTGCGTAGCGTCTATTCTGGACGCCATTTTCTTGCACGCGTTTAGCACGCAAAATGGATCGTCTTACTTGAACCACGTTTTTTTCTAATAAGCTTTGAATATTAACAATCATTTGCAGATGAAAATGAGTGAATCGATGATGGAAAATTCTGAAGGGAATATGCAAGATAATTCCGGCTCCAACACCGGACCTTCAGGTCCGGGAGGACGCGGCGGCGGCCGTGGCGGTGGACGAGGTGGCCGCGGAGCCGGAGGAGGAGGCGGTGCCGGTGGTGGCGATAGAGGACAAAATAGATCACAAGATGTAAGGTTTCTTTTTTTTATAAATTGAATAAGTTATTGATAATGAATGTACAGAATAATTTATCGTACTTATCAAATTCAATGGATATACATATTGAAAAATGATAAGTTCTATATTTTATGGCTATTCAAATAACTTTCGAACAATGAAAAATTTTATCTGAAAAATTATGTACATTCATTATCTTCTCTTCGAAATTTTTAATATGAAGATAATATATCCCTCTGTAATGAATTTGTAAATTTTTACTAACTTCCTAATGGGAAGTTATTTTGTTAAATGATTTAATTTCCGTCTATAGACAGGAAAATAAGTATATCATTAATAGAAATCATATTGCATTTCGAGTTTTCTTCAATAAATATTAATTTATTTATATGAAACTATAGTTTGGTCCTTGAAAGATCAATAGAAAGTATAGTCAGATACTATTTTATATTATATCTCAGAATTGTTAGAAAAATTTATTCCAACTGTTATGTTCTATTAATTTGAAAGCTAATACAAAAATTAATTGGAATGGTTGATTAATAAAAAATTAAATTTTTTCAGGATCGTCTTATGGAAAGAATAATGAGTTTAAGTGGTCCCACACATGAATTGCCGCCCCAAGATACCGCAGAAAAAAAATTCAGCGGTCGTAATCGCTTATATGTTGGTAATCTCACAAACGATATCACAGAAGAAGAAATTACCAATATGTTCTCTCCTTATGGCGAAATATCAGAATTATTCGTTAATAAAGAAAAAAATTTCGCATTTTTAAGAATGGTAACTATTATTTTTAATTCATTATTTATTGATGAAAAATATTTTTTTACAAATGATTATAAAAATTACCGTTTGATTTTATGATAAGAAATATTGGCTGCATTTAATATGATAATATTAATATTTTAAATGTTCCATTTAATGTTTATGTTCCATAATGATCAAAAATATTGCTTTCGATCCACAGGATTACCGAGTAAATGCAGAGAAAGCTAAACATGAATTAGATGGCACAATGCGCAAAGGCCGTGCTATTAGAGTCAGATTTTCTCCACATTCATCTGCGATAAAAGTTAAGAATTTAACACCTTTTGTATCTAATGAATTATTAGAACGATCATTCAGCGTCTTTGGTGAAATCGAACGAGCTATTGTTATTGTTGATGATAGAGGAAGAAGTACAGGTGAAGGAATTATTGAATATGTCCGAAAACCATCAGCATTGATGGCTATCAGAAAATGTAATGAAGGATGTTATTTCTTAACTGCGTAAGTATTTTTTTTTCTTGATTTCTTTCTAATTCTAATACTGTCCATAATAATATTTACTTATATTATCTTTATCTTTTCAAATAGTTCACTCCGGCCAGTAATTGTTGAACCTTTTGAACAACAAGATGATATCGACGGTTTCCCAGATAAAAACATTCCACGAAAAAATTCTGACTTCTTCAAAGCTCGAGAAGTTGGCCCACGATTTGCCCAGGTTGGTAGTTTTGAACATGAATATGGAACAAGATGGAAGCAATTGTACGAGCTATATAAACAAAAAGAAGAAGCACTGAAACGAGAAATGGCTATGGAAGAAGAAAAATTAGAGGCTCAAATGGAATTCGCCAGATATGAACATGAGACTGAATTGCTACGTGAACGTAAGTTTTTCGATTAATTTTTTTATCCTTGACGCCACGCTTGTATGATGGCTTAAAATCATCAAGTGCCAAATCAAAACAAAAATCAAGGAAAATTAAAGGAAGTCCGGTTAGGAAGCACAGTCCGTTTACTTATATTGTGATTTGTGTGCCGTAAAACTTGGATACAATGTTTTTTTTTTTCTCTAAATTTATCTTGAAATTGAAATTGAATTGGTGAATCATTAAACTATAGAATTGCGAGTGCGAGAAGCCGACAGAGAGAGACAAAAACGTGAATGGGAAATGAAAGAGCGACAGGCCCAGGAACGGCGATCGCGAGAAGAGGAAGCTCAACGTCGACAACAAGACGAAATGGCTATGCGAATTCGACGCCAAGAGGAAGAACTTCATCGGCGTCAACAAGAAAATACTATCTTCATGCAGGTTGGTATTGAATTATGTCAAACTAACAAAAAAAAGTGCACTGCTAGAAAGATTTTTAAAATATACTGCATTTTTTTCAATAGGAACAAGCCATGCGTAGTGGTAGCGGTGGTAAACCTTATGACAATGTAAATAGTAATGATCGCGATGGATACGGCAACGTCGATGGTAAATTTTTTATTTCAATCACTAACATATCTATGCAAATAGTATGATACTAATTGATAACTGTTTTTTTTTTTGTGTAACAGGAGGCAACAACTTACCAGTGGTAACGTATTAATTTTTGCTATGTTTTTCTATCAATCTCAAAACTTCTCTTTTATTTAACTATCTTAAATTTGTTTCTTACTCACATTTGAGATATTTGATGCTCCGTAATCGATTGAAAAAAAAAAACAAAAAATTTCTATTTGTTTCTAACTCTTGCATTTTTAAGCTGGCATTGAAGTCAGATAAATACAAATAGTAGCTGTCTCCAGTTATACTCTCATTTCATAACAATTCTCGAAATAATTACTGTTATTTTTGCATGATCATCTCTTCTAGACAATGGAGTGAATTTATCTGAAGTTTTACATGTGCAAGTTTTATATTTGAACAAATTGAAACGAACAGAATTCTAATGCCTGCAAAACCGTTCTCTAAGAATCTATTTGAATCATTTACTATGTTTACAATAAATATATTCATTATATAAAAATCTTTTATATTTATTCTTATAATTTTAATGGATGGTATACACAAATTTAAAAAGAACATATCGCATGGAGATATCATCTAGCATCGATGATCAACTGGATTATAAGAATATTAAGTATGATTGATTCAAAGTGATATTTTTATTCTGACTAAAACAGTGAAAATATCAAATGCAAATTCAACTTGCATTGATTTGATTAATTTCTTTATATAAAACTCGAAATTGATTTAGTCTTGACTGAATTCAAACGCTCATATCTTCTGGATGGTTGTCTTGAATAAGTAGACCATCAACAAAATTATTAATACAAAATTCATTATTCTTGATAGCCAATTTAAAGTTGACCATATTTTTATTGAATAAAAATAAACCATAAATTTGTATTATATTACAATCGATAGGTTCTCTATTATTTTGGGGAGGGAATACGAAAAAAAAACTGGAGTAATTTGTCTGCTAATAAGCAGACTGACCTTTGTTATTATTCTACAAATAAATTATTACTCTCATATGCTATGACTGATTTCTCCAAGCGTTTGCAGGCAAGAGATTCTGAATTATTATGTCTTAATTATTACATTCATTCTTTGAAACAAACTATAATCTCGAAGGATTGACTTTGTCGTTGAATTCTGTTATATTATTATACAGACCGATTATAAAAAATGTCCAATCATCATGATTGAACAGATGTCTAATTGAAATCGTTGAAGATAAAATACTTGATATGTCTATTTATCTAGTCCCAATATAAAAAAAAGCTAGAAGTAAAAAGTTCGACAAAGTTTGCTCAGAAACCCTGATCAAGTTTCTCTGCTGCTTATCGTAACTTTGACACTTTATGATAAAAAAAAATCGCACGACTTGATAGAAAATATTGAAAAATTTTATCGTAAATCCTAGATTGGAGTTGGGCATTTTTGTAGGTCTGCTAGTTTATTGTGTATAATGATATCCACTAATGGAACCATAAGTATAGATATAAAATGTGTTTTCTATATATTAGATAATTAATCTTTATGGTAACGCGTGATAATCGCGTTCATGCAATTTGTATTATATCTCGCATCTTCTAACATTGTTTTTTTCCCCTTTCTTTTCTATGTGATATGACGAAAATTGACGATGACCTGTGCTGCTGTCATGGATGGTCGCCCTGAACCGTAAAATGTATTTATGGTACATCCAAAATCTACACAACCCACTGTACGTTTCACTGCAAACGTCATTCGTGGTAATCGGTTAATTGTTTAACCGCAATTTAATCTTTATATCGTGCGCTCGATTTATTTCAATCGTCAGGACCCAAAGTCATTTATGGACGCGTATAATATGGACCGCAATAATCGTGGTGGGGGTTACAATGATGATCGTGGACAAATTATGGATCTTATGGATATGAGAGTTGATATGGGCAACATGGGTAATAATCGTGGTGGAAATAATGGTGTTGGCGGTGGTGGGCGTTGGCAAGGCGGAAATGATAATAGAAATCGCCAAGAAGACTTTCCGAATAAAAGGAGACGTTATTAAACCCCGAAATAAATATATTAGCAATCACTAATAATTATTCATCTAATCTGTAACAAAATAATTGTTTTCGTAAATATTAGTTCTTGGAATAACGTCTATGATCTTTCTTCACGAATTATGATGTCTGTTACAGATTTTATAACACTTTTGTGACAAACAAAACAATTATCCACTTACAAATTTAACCATTTATTGGTCAATTTGTATTAAACAATCTTTAGACATTCTCTATAATATAACAAAATATCATTACGATGATTAGTATTGCTATAAAAATGTGTGTTATCATTAGGCATCATTTATTTATGAATTTAATTGATATCCGGATTAAAAAATAAATACTCTATCGTATTATTAAATCTTCCGGCAAATTATCAAATTAATAATCATTAGTTTTCATTATAAATTATACAATCGTTTATTTCATTGAATTGTGATCAGTTGGTTGATTTTTTAATAATCAAGCTATTAGAAAGTCATTATGTGTATGCTCAAATAAGTTGCTGTGTATACTTTGATTACTTTTGAATTACTTGACGAATTTCATGAAAATACAGAGTAACATTAAGATATAACATACAACATATTTTATCAAATGAGCTTTTTTTATGAGAAAATTTCTGTGAGTAATAATTTTTTTGACTAGAATATATCAAGTACGTATAGCTGAATTATGAAAATATGTTTTAAGTCATATTATAATATTACTGATTAAGGAATCATCAATACTTACGTATTTGAAACAATCTTCAGTAGAATTGGATTAAATACAATCATACTAGTAGGATTATAATTGATAATTTACTTGCTGAAATTAATTTATCAATAAATTTTAGAAAAAAAAATTGACCGAACTTTTTTGAATTACACTCAACATTATCTTAAATAATATTTTATTCTACAGATATTATTTGATTTTAACTTTTTTTATTACCATTATTTTTATTATTTACCCACTTAATTATGGTATATAATCATCTATCAAAAATATCTCACTTTATTGTGGATATTCAATTTTTATTTATTATTTTATTTTATACACAATTTTGTGTCGTAAAAATAAATTTATTTATTTATTCATTTATCTCGACTATTTTGAAAACGAAAAACTTACAGTTACTGCTAAATCATGTAATTTGAGCATTTGTTATTACGACATTCTTTTATGGCGGATGGACATCAATCACAAGATATTCTTTCTTTCTTGAAACCACTAGTCAATGAACCACTAATTTCAGGTGAGTAGATTAGCCAAAATATTATTACACACTGTTATTATTGAATTCCATTTGGGTGGGGTCCATTTAATGTTTTAAGAGTATAAGCAATCCTACGGAAAACATTTTATTTATCGATTTTACAATAAAACAATGAACCAAAAAAGTCTCGAAATAATTTTAGTATTATTGAGAATTGTAAAAAAAAAACAAGAGAAATTAATTGATCAATTGATTAATTAATATCAAGCTAACAAACTATTGCTTGTATTCTTCATATTCTGTTTATTACAAAATCATCAAAAGATGATTCTCACATTTTATTACATCAAAAAAATCATTATTCTTATGAATATAAATAAATTTTTCTCTTGATTTATATGAAATAGTGTACCAGTGAAATTCATAATGAACAATACATGTTAATACATTAGAAAAAAAATGTTTTTTTCTATATTTAAAAACAGTTCAGAACTTGAATTAATACCAACGACAGCCACAATATGTGAGCACTCAATAATTATTTGAAGGTTGTCTTGGTTTATATGTTTGTGAATCTGAACTGTGTTAGGAAATTTTTGATACATCAATATAAAAAGGTTCTTTATTCTCTTATTATTATACTAATAGTTATTATCGAAATTTTTCCTACTGGAAATGGAAATGATTTTATTGTACGAAAACAAGACTTCACATTGTCTCCATGGCAATGTACTTATCTGTAATCGAATAAGCGCTTCATCGTATCGTCCTCAAAATAAACTACATTAATATTTATTATATCTACTTTTCACCCAACTGAGACGCTTATTACTAGATACATTATCATAGAAGCCGTTGAACTTTTATAATATGTTACAGAGAAATTTTATTATTTTACCAGTAAAATAATTTACTCCTATTCTACTGTGATTTAATGTTATTAAACTCTATAAAAAAAATACAAGTAACAGCTGGGTAGAGTTAAATATGCTAAATTAAAAGTTTTGATCTCCATTACAGATACGAGCATCTGCGGGATGAAATTCTTTGAAACACCTGCAATCTGGGCAGTCTAAAGTCTTATAAATTGAATTTGACATGCAGAATTCAGAAAGCCACATCTGGATGAGTCATTTTAATGGTAATTGAAAATTATTAATTAACTTTTTAATATATCTTTTTTTTTATCTTATTATGATGATAACTATTTACGCTAAAAAGATTGATACGCTGTAATGATGCTAATTTCCCAACGTGTACTGACATTAAATAATATTTTCAATTTTTTTTAATATTTTAAATAATTTCTAGAAAGTAATGTATTTATTCTGTTGCAGTTCAGACAATGAAGATTAGCTGGAATTAATAATCTCATTATCAGCCTTCAGTGACGGTAAACAGTATAGCAAAGAATGTGGAATTACAAGTAAGCATTATTTGAATACACTACCATTTTTGTTTACTCTCTTTGAATGATTTTTAAAATTCAAAAAGAAAATAAATAAATAAACATGATGCTTTCATCTTTCGGGGCTGATTAACATTGATGTCACAATTATACTGATATATTTCAATATAATATCAAATTATATAATATTTTTAGAATTATTATTAATGTTCAACTTATTATTTTGATAAATAGATTCTGAGAGCCATGAATAAAGCTAAGGATGATCTTGCGTGAAAAGAATAAGGTAAGATTCTTTTATTTAGTTTGCGTGGAATAATCCATCTCTGTAATGGACAGAATGATGATTTAAGGCTAGAGTCCTGACTTGAAGATGACAAATTGTTTCGTTAAACTTTCTGATTTAATGAATCGATCGTAAATCAAATTATTTATTGAAAACTTCTCTGATTTATAAGAGTTGCATTATTTGTTACAGTTTTAGCAGTATATAGCTGGAAAAGAGCACACGGAAAACTAAGAAAAATAATCTTTCAGTCATTTGTATTACAACTTTGTACTAACTAAATAAATATGAAGAAAAGAATTTTATTTAATAGATTGAAATATTTTTTTATTATATAAATTTAATCAATAATTCTTTATATTCAATTTGCAAATATTTTTTATGATAAAATTAGTAGTAATTTATGATAATATACAAAAAATGTCACTTCCAATTATTTATATATGACAAAATAATTGACGAATTTAGGGTGAAGTCACGTCCAACAAATCCTATAAATACTTTACGTGATCTAATTATTAAGAACATTTGGTCGACTTGTCGATTAGCATGTAGAGGTTAACAGCACGAGGGTGAATACTCTCCATGTCGGACAACACTAGAAGTCGGGCAGGAAATTTTAGTCGGGGATAAAAATTAGACTCGCTCTAAAAATAATTTATACAAAATATAACAGTCTGGCTGACTGAATAAATAATATCTTCAGAAAAATAGCATTCAATTTTGAGCCAAAACCTTCTAGATGAAATTTAATAGAATATCTTTATTAAAGAAATACTATTCTTATGGAGTAGATTTATTTTCTTGTTTATTTTTAAAAAATTATATTTTATTCAACATGAAAATAAAAAATCTGAAAATAATTTATAAACATATATTTATATTTAGGAAATGCTAATAACTATTATGCTAAAAATAAAAAAAGACTTCTGAGTGAAATAAATGTTCACTTGGACTACGTACCATTTCTAGAAATAAATTTTTTAAAAATATTCCAAATTTATTTCAAGCACAAAATTATACAGAATATAAAACTTTTACTATTTTAATATTATGCTACTTTTTTCAATTCCTGTGACATTACATTGACTTTTTGGTCTATCGAGTTTCATTATTATATATCTATAAGCATTTATGTTCAATAAACTGTGAAAATTATTACATCTTCAACTAAATATAGTAAAACTTTTCAAACTTCAGAAAATTAGTTTCTATGTAATTTGGCAAGTAATATTAGCATATACATAGCATTTATGTATGTACTAATGAGTGTTTATTGAACTAAAAAACATCAAACTCATAGATTCCAAGAATATTTAATTTTATTTTCTGTATATTCAATTTTTTTCAAAATATTTGTATTCATTATAAAAACTCCATTCTTTTCAAAATTACTATGTAGGTTGATTTTCAATCTTTTTTTATTTCAATTGTTCAACCAGTCCAATTCCGGCCTAAATGAGAATAACAACTTTGGAATTAATCAATAAACAGTTATTTGAATAAAAAATTTATCAAGTTTTAAAGAAACAACTCAATTTGAAATAATAGTTCAATTAATGTTTATTTTTATTTATAAACAAATCAGTATGTTTAAAAATAATTTTACTAATCAAATTCAGAAATAATTCTATTTGTGATGTCTAATATGCTGCCTGATACCTACACATTACAATTATTTTTGTTTGAAATTGAGATATTATTATTCAGTTTTTCATGAATTTGAAAGGAAATATTGTATTATAATGAACAAATAAGTAGACTACAATAAAAAAAGCTTTGAAATTTGTTTATTGTTAGTCGCAAAAATGCATTATACATTTGTACATAAAATTAATCGCAGCTGACAATGATGTCGATAATAAATAACAAATAAAATAAATTCAACATGTTATAATGTGTAGAATGTGCTACATAATATAAAATTATCATGTACATTTTTCCAAACATTTTATTATGGTTTATTTAGTTGTAGTGGTATTTAGATTCAAGAATATACTCAATTTGTTAACAGATATTAGTACTTTTGCTTCAACTTTAGATGCAACGCCATGTAATAAAGACAATCAAATATACGGCCGGAGCGGGTGGAAGGAATGAATTTTGGTGTTTTGAGCTTCTATTAATCTATCTAGATCTATATTATTTATAAAGGTGATAAGGAGGTGCCATATTTATGATTTATATTCGGTAATAATTGTTTTAATACTTTACTTATTTCGTTTTTCCCTTCTTGCAATTGTGGGAAAATCTATAACAGCAGTGACAAGTTTTATGATCAAACAAATGTCAACTGTTTTCAATTCATATTTTCAATATGTTATTTTACACAATATTTGTTTGCATTACTTTGAAGAAATTTAGTTTATAAATCATTTATCCAATCAATAGCTTTGAACTGTTTTTTTTTTAACGTACATACGTTTATTAACGTATTAATAATTTATACTTTTATTACTTGTCGATACTTTTTACATATTTATGTCAATTATTGTAGATCACAGACAACTTGTTCTTAATTCATAAAAACAATTTAGTTGTTTATTATTATTTATCTTATTAATATTATTATCATTATTCAAATGGTTTTGTTTTTTTTTTCTTTTTCGTAACTATGATAACACATGTCTCACTTGTACATCAGTGTACCATTGTCATGTGCGCATGTCCAGGCAATTTTACAATTATTTTCAACATTATTCGCCAATGTAATAAAATAAAAAACTAATAAGTCAAGTAATTGAGCACTGCTGGATTAAAAATAATTGTTATCATGACATTAAATTTATGATTGATGTTGGCAATATTTAATCAGATATTTATATTAATTATTTGTTTCACTAGTTAATAAAAAAAACTTATGTTTTGATGGATCTAATTTTTACTTGTCATAATTAAGCGAGAAGCACAAGCAATGCTCTTACCAGGTATAACTTGAGAGAAAAAAGCATTACCCATGGTATTTCTGACATTTCGTCCTCATGCAAGTACTCTTTGATTAAGTACAAATCAATGACAGCCTGACAATTGGACGGCTGGGAGATAAAGTCAATTAGTATTTGTTTTGTTTTCTTAGATTATTTCAATTAAATTGTGGACTGATAAAGTTTGAACAATTCGCACTTGATTAACCGATTACATTAGCTTTAAATATTTGTAAAGCTTATTTTTAGTCTTTTTACATAATTTCATTGGCGTGGAGTGAATAAGTAAATTGATATTCTATCGTATAAATTACAACGATATAACGGTGAATACGCATGGTCACACAGCAAGCGAATTATTTAAGTATATTTTTAACATTTTCATTATTTACCTATACCATTTTTCAAGCCTTTATCTTTGTATCAATAAACAATGTAATTTTTTAATACATGATATAAATTAAATTTCCAATTTTTTTCTTTATAAAATATTTTTTTTAATTATTATTCACGAGCGAACCAGAGTAATTTATTATCATTGATTTTCATTGAAATTTGATTGCTAAAACCTATTGAATTTGCATTCTCCTGACATTTATTCGTTGAAAAATTATCCAATATGTTGTTATCATTTACCCGTAATTGACTTGATGACAAAGAATAAAAGACAAACAAAAATATTCTCGTTTTGAGTATTTAATTAATCTGTTAAGTATTAAATCATTACCTTCTCAATAGCCTCTGGTTCACTCGATGGCGTGCAGTGACGTGCTGAAGTATCGAAAACTTGTTTCATCAACAGAGGACTGAGGAACCCTTGAATGCAAACCTCATCTTCTATAATTTGACTTAGAGATGATGATCTCTAGTGGGGCTTCCATGAGATATTGTTCAAACCTTGAAAGTGTCGCTTCAAACTGCTGCTGTCGGCCCAGGTGGAGTTAAGATACTCGTCGTCATCATCTTGTTCAAGTTTCTAGAAAAAAAGAAAGAAGCAGCAAGAAGAAAGGAAAAATAATTATCTATTGTTTCTATGACTATTCTACGCATTCTTTAGTCAAGAGAAGGTGCTGATATAAACCACTCTCAATGATATTGATTGTTATTTGTACATTTGTATATATACTTGGATAGAAAAGCATCTAGACACTTTTACGTTTCACAACAAAATTTGCATATCTTTAATTGAAATCTTTAATTAGTTTTCATTATATTGCTAAAAGTTCTACTCTAATAACTATTCGTTTATTATTTGAAGCATTTTGATCATTGACTTAAAAAGTTTTGTCATCCATAATTGGATCATTGTTATAAACTATTCTCAACTAAGTGGATATTGTCAAATTCTATTATACTGATTATTATGGGTTAAATGGATAGTAATTTCATCAAATCTATCGAATCAAAAATCATTCGAGTAGCAACTATATTAAATCAAAAATCTAGTTAGTATACTGATAGTACTAGTTGACAAAGATCTACATGTTTGATACTTAGCAATTAAAATACTTTTTATTATTCAAAAAATATTTATTAAAAACTTTAGAATGGTAAAAGAATTCATTACTTTCGTAAAAACTTGAAAAATGCTAAAGACTCCTTCAATGTACATACTTCATTATTCTTCACCGCAGTAGAATCGATTTTTTTATACTGCATTTAATTCCCACTTTGTTCAGAAGGAACTGCAAATAAATCCTGATAATGCGTTCGATTTTAGTAGTTGAATTCTAGTGAATGTTAAATCTTGTGGAAGAAAATATTGGTAATTCTACTTTATTTATTGGAATAAATAAGTTTAAGCTTCCTAAAATATAAGCCCTTTAGCCCTAAAAAGTAATAGAGACCTCGATGTGAATAGAATTTAATCAGTGTTATTTCATTGTAAAGCAGTCCTTTAAGTCTAAAATAGAGTAGCCTACAAGTGCTCAAGAACTTGATGTTTATACGTACACAAAATTAATACTCATACTTAGAACAAAATATCTAACATGATTTCAATTTATAGTACTCTTTGTTTTCTTAAACGTTTTTATTTTATGTACAGACATTCTTTTATGACTATTTATTTTTAAATAATGGTATATATTATGATATAAACAATTAAGCGTGCATTCACGTTTATTGGTCTGCATAATGCTTACCAAACCATGATCATATTTTATCCACTCATTGATAAATTCAAAATGAATCTTGTCTAAAATGAAGCTTAAAATATAAAAAGTACATTTTTATTATCATAAAGTTCTGCATTTTTTCAAATTACAGAATATCTCCTGGAATTATTCTACGGTAAATTTACTTTATTGAAGTTTGTTGATAATATGATCATATTATATTACATCAGGATTTCCGAACATAGATAAATTAATGCTCCAACGGTGTCTCTAATGAATGTTAAATAATTACCAATAATTTAATGATGACGTCCACATAAATAATAAATATCTCCAACAGTATCTAGATAATTTATTATAATTTTAAACATAGCTATCTCGAAGATTTCAATATACCAATTCACCAATCAATTATTATTTAACAATAATAAATGAGAAATTTTCAAATTCATAAATGACGAAATATAACAATAGTTTTACTTTTTATCCATGAAATCATAAAAATAACCAAGTAATGAGAAAATTCTCAATATATAATTCACTTGGATTATTTATCAAGAAAAGTACCAACATCTACTTTTGCTCTGTTCTCTATCAGTTCTCAAAAAATCAATACTTTTAGTGATAAAAATACTCCAATAATCTAGACAAACTTTCAGACGGTTGATTAATTAGTACCAATTGATTATCTAAAGCGATTTACATTAACTCCTTTTCAATGAAGAATTCTATCAGGTCCAATACTTGAGGAAATTGCATCGATTTGTAAGTAAAGAACAAAAATAATCCAGCTCCACTTTGATTATATTCCTTAAGGTTTATTTAAGCTTGACCTATATTGTAATACATCTCAGTATAATTTCCATTAGCTGGATCAAATACATACATTTCGTGATCGAAACTTATGTTAAGGCACGACATGCAGGAGACAATCGAAGCTTGATATCAATCAACTAACGTGATCCAATCATGATAAAGATGGCTTTAACAGGTAAAGCACAAGAATAAATTGCTTAAACCACAGTTTTCACCAACCTAATCATTTGGGTGCAAATAAAAATAAACTTTCTATATAATTTTATATCTTACAAGAATATTTATTATGAATCATTTGAGATATATAAAAAACCAATAACTAGGCCCAAGTTTATTCATATTTAGAAAAGCTGTATAGATAAATTACTGTCCTTTCGTGTCGCTTTAGAATCAATATTTGCTGTCCTTGCATGAATTTCACTATTCTTGTATTGTATATATATTCTGGCTTTTATGTCTTCTACTCAAGTATTAGCAATAAATGTACCACCTTTTAGTACATTCGGGATATGCACACACCCACTTTCCGGTTAAACTAGAGTATCGGTCTGTTTGTTCGGTTAGAGAGCTAACTTCGTCTTGGGGGTTTTATTGGAGCAATAAATTCCAAAAAATTGAATTGAAAAAATCTTTGAGATATAATAAAAGTTTATAATAAATTAATTTTCTTTTTTTTTATCGATAAATAACTTATATTTATATATGATGTGTGGGAATTTTTTAATAAAATTTTTATAACTTCTATGAAGTTGATATCATCAATTTTGATCAAGTTATCAACGATAAGAGAATTAAAACATTAGGTATTGTGTATTCTCTGGTGGAATTGTTGTATTGATTTTAAATTAAATATAAAAAATGCTTTTAACATGTATTTTTTATTCTGATAATTACTATGGAAAAGTCTCATCAATTGTAATGACATTTAATAGATAATTTTGATAACGAGGGTAATAATAATGTGTACATATGAACAGGTGGTCTTTTTTCATGCTTATTGTCTGAAAATGAATATCAGCCTGGAGTGAAACTATAACTGGAAACCAGAATTTATTGAATCAGTTTTATCTATAACATATGTGTTGATCATGAGTCGGTTTCCAATATGTAGTATTTGAATATGATGGAGAAGAGGTGATATTATCATTGATAATAGAAGTTTTAGCTCATAAATGTACCCCAATAGTATTTTACATTTCAGTTAAATTTAAACAAAATTGGTTCATGCAATATCTTCTTCATTTATTTATTTATTTATTTTTTAAATAAATAAATAAAATTAACTTAAAATATTTTAGTTATCTGAAATAGTTTATTTTTCAATAATCTATTTAGAGTTGATGTAATTAACTGCCAACAGTTTTTTGATAATTACTTACCCCTGAACTGAAATTGAATTCGGTATTCCATCAAGGCTCTCTCTGCTGACCTCATCTGCCATAGCAACTTTGAGTTGATGACCAAAACTCGCAAGGTCCTCTCTGAAGGCTTCACTTCCGGGTGTAATGGCACCACTTGTGGGTGGAATTGGTGTTGCGTTGCTATGAAGACCTTCGACTTCCTCATCCTCGCCATCATTTTTATTTACCAATTTTTCTTCGTCTTCGTTGTAAATTTTGAAGTAGGCAATAGTAAGATATATTACCGAAATTATAAAAGATGGTATTGGTATCGCCATTGCATATACCAAATTCATATAAACCTGAGGATTAATCGTTAAATTTCGTTCAATAATTTACCCCTACTTTATACTAGTAGTTATTTTCATCTTTTACGTCATCACGTCAAGTTCATCAGGATTTCCAACAATGAAGATTAAAATACATTGAAAATGTCGAACAAGTGGAAAAAATATTAAATGTACAGTGAAACAAGATATATAATAATAGAAAAGATTCTTTTGATACAGCTCCGTCGCAAAGATGATAACTTCCGTTTTTTTGAATTGTAATACATTATGCACATGCATTGACACGCGCATTCTATTGTTGTCGATACTTTAAAGTTTTCCTGTTATCATTGTTTCCGCCCTTTTTGCCAACCAAGTAACCGGAACTTATTCGCAGTACAATTTATACGCGACTATACACTCGTTAATTGAACAATCCTAACGAACAAAAAAATTTTTTTAAATCTATATTGAACTAAATTTAATGAAATGTGATTTCTTATTGTTACAGATATAAAAAGGAAATTTCTATAAAAAATTGCATTTAAAATATAAAGAAAGCATTTGACATTCTGTCATTGCAGAATAGTTGATATCAATATTGACGTGAAAAATTTTTTTTTATTCCAAGTTTCTGGAGATATTAAACTATTTTAAAATCATAATATATTTTTTGCTATACGCTACAACATTATGTATTCTTGTGATGCAAAATGCAATTTAATAGGAATCAAATATAATGAAGAATCTATCAGAAAAGTGTTTAGACTTTTTAAAAGATAAAAAGACAAAATAATTATGAATCTTATGTGAAGCATATTAATGCTAACATAGCAGATATAGAAAAGTGTGAAAGTAAACTGATTCAAAATGAAGGTATGAAGAGAATTTTGAAGTAAAAATAACTTCAACAACCAGAGTAAACTTAGGATCTTGTTGAATGACAAAAGAAATTGCCAAATAGTATAAGTGTTTCTCTTTTTATACTACATTTCATACTAGTCTTTGATCATTTTCTCACTTTTTAGAAACATCTTAATTTTTTTTCTCTTTAAAAACTTTTTTATTACTGTTAAAATAAATAACTAGCATTGCTTGAAAAAATATTAAAAATCATAATCAATTTAATAATATATTATCAATCATAATTTGAAAGAAAGACAGTTATTTTTTAAATGTTAACACCGACAGATTATCGACACGTCAGATACATTGCTTTGGTATATCGATAATAGATTGTTTCTGATAAGACACTATAACAAGGAATTAACTCGGAAACTTAATTGATTATTTTAAAGTGTGAGATTGATTCTCCAAAAAAAGGAACAATGTAATGGAAAGAATAACATATTGAATTATGAATAGAATGTGCTATTCACAAGGGATATTTTCAATTTCCTTGATAACAAAGCATATATCATTTTTAGAACAAAAAGGTTTTTTATATAGTTTTAAATGAAAATACATAAATTTACAATTGAAAAAACATTACTCATATTTTTTTGATGTTGGAAAATTCTTTTTAATTTTATTAGAATTATTTTAGACTTTAGAAGATCACTTTTTTCACTACAAATCCAAAAGCATAGTTAAATTTGTCACTTCAAATTCTCAACTCTCTTCTATTAAGAAAACTTTTGATTGCAGTAAGAAATTTTTTTCAACATAATACTGTGTTTTTGAATATGCAGCAAAGAAAAAAAAATTTACACTGCTGTGATTCAACTTATTATTCCTTTAAAAAACTGAGTTATGAGAAATAACGAATGTTGTATTTTCTACTATTTCACTTTTGATTATATTTCTGAGTAATAAAAATATTTAGAGAAAAAATATGTTGCTTATTTATAAAGTGAAAATGAGATATATTTCAAGCAATCACAATTTTTCCTTTTAAAGTTATTTAAAACTTTTTCAGATAAATTATGAGTTCAGTTAGTCATTAAGAAAAAGAAGTCTATATGATAATATTAAAATCACATAGAGTGATTTTTTAAAAGTAATTTTTCAATTGTCAGTTTTATGGTGAAGTAATATGAAATTAAGAGTTCATCAAGTTTTTCCTAAAAAATTCAAATGAAGAGTGTACTTAGTTGTAAAAATGTCTGTTGTGAAAAGATATATAATGTAAAAAAGAGAAAAATTCTGTACATAAAAGAAATTCTCAGGAACGAATTCACATACTAAGTACACACGAAGCTAAAGATATTAAGATTATCTTACGAAAAATGGTGGAATTAAAATAAATTTTACTTCACTGTGTAAAATTGTCTCTATTTTTTTTCTCAACTAGTGAAAATCATTAGTTTTATTGAAAAGTTCAAAAATGTACACTGTAAATTTAAGTGTTGTATTTGAAAACACTTAAAAACGGTTTAAAATCGAAACAATGTTAATAAAATAAGTGACGTTAGATTAAAACACTAAAATTTACAGTGGTATTTTGTAATTTTTTTTTATTTTTGGACTATACATTTCTAATATTAAGTTTAAAAATCATTACTATCAATAAAATATTCTATTAAATAACTATTTAATAATTTAAAAAGTAAATATTAATTTCAATGTATATTTTTGTCATCTATTAATGCAGAAATAACACGAAAGTATCAGTTAAAAATAAAATAATCATGGCTTCTGATTCAGTGATATTGTTTACAATATAAACATAAATCGTTAATAAAAAATAAGCAACAAAAGATAGTATTTGTGTTATCGATCCCTCGCTAATTTAAATAATGTTGATAAAACATATTACAGAAATATTATCTTCAATAATGCTTCATACAACACGTATTCAGTTACTTCTTGACAATAGTTGTAGAGATAAAAAAGCAATAAAAGAGAAATCAAGAAAGCCTGTGAAAAAAAGTGTAATCGAAAGATCCACCGCAGTTTTATTAGCTTGTAGTGGTGTCATCAATTCTTATCGGAAAGCAAAGAAAGTTGCTTCTATAAGTAAATAAAATCTTGTTATGTAGTTGTTAAATTGAAATCATGTCACGATAAAAATTTATGAATGCGCATTGAACAACTTCTTTATGGGATGCTTCCACAAGAAAATTAAAAAATTTTCAAGATTGATTGGTGAAGAGGAAACCATCAATCCACTGTCATTTATTTATTATTTCTTTGATCATTCTAATTATCAAGAAAAAACTTTATCTATATTATTAAAATTAAGCTTTTTATTTATGCTCATAAATTATTATTAAATTAACTGAACTCTAAAACTTCAGGAATTTATACATGTTGTACAAAAATTATTATGTAAAACTATATGAGATTAGTTTATATTAAAAGATTGGTTTGTATGTAATAAAAAATAATTTGTATGGACGAGTAAATGGCTTTGAAGTCGATTTAATTATTACTTGCTATAAATGATGTATATTTTTAGAAAGTGAATGCAACATAAGATATTTGTGATTACCACGTAATGTATAAGTTATTATATTAAAAAATTTATATTCCGGAAATGAATAAGATATACAGATGTATGAAAGGTGTTCTTTCATATGAATATTCACTAAGAAAATCAATTTGTGTTAAAAAATGTGTTATTTAGTAGTAATAAAGAAATTAAAAATTCTTTTGTAAAGACGATAAAATATTCTTTGATATAAAATCCCACTTTTTTATTTGCTTGACATAATATTTAAATATTTATTTTATTTTATAACATGCAAAAGGAATGTCAATATTTAAAAATGAAATTACCAGTATCTACCAACAAAATTCTTGGTGGAATTGCTGTATAAAATTGGATCGATAATAAAATGATTTCATTTATGAGTGCTAAATGTGATAAATGAATAGTAGTAAATGATTTTCATACAAGTTTACGATCAATAATCGCATTTATTTTTGTAGTGACATTATTTATAGTACTGTCTAGAGAGTCCAAATGTACAATCATTCAGTCACTACAGCCATTAATTTTATACAATAATTAATAACCTTTTTTACTAGAGTAAACAAATCAATAGCTCAATGCAACTTGACAGATTAATTGGTGAAATCGAAGAAAATTTATCGTGAAAATGTTGTATCTATTTTTTATTTAACTTTTTTTTAAAAAATCAATCATTGTTATGTCAAAGATATGTGCATGAATAGAGTAGAGTTTCATCCTAACTTAAAAAACAAAATTCACAATTCAACTTTTTATTTAAGATGCTTTTAAAAGAGAATTGTGCATAAATTAAATATGTTTAATTAAATATCGTACTTTTTTTCATCATTAATTTAACTGAAACTTCCCCATTAAATATTTACAATTGAATATTGAATAATAATAATAATAATAATAATACTTTTTCATTTAAAATAATTAATAAGTTTCAATTAAAAGTTTATTGAGTTAAATTCAATAAAAAAAGAGAAGTAATATTAATCATAAATTTTTATAGAAAATTGAAAATAAGTTTTTGATATTTGATAAGGAATTGTGATGGATTAACTTGATGAAAAGATTTAGCATATAAAATATTTCTCTACTATAAGATCATTTCAAATAGATAATAAAAGTCTACTATATTGCATTCTTCCCCTCTATTGCAAGAAATCCATTCATGCTTATATTATTAATAGATTATCTCAAGTAGGGAATAGAACGTTCAATCATTCTAAAATATTGGATGCAATCAATTGAAAAATATCATAACAGAGTGAATCGAACTGATAACAAAAACACGGTGAATTCAAACAAATAAGAACAGTTTAATCAATTTAACTCATAAACCCCTACGGCATTTTGATAACGAGAAAATTGAATCACATGAATACTTTCAATTCAAAAGAATAAAAACTACCTTTAAATTGAATGTTAAATTTTGTGAGTACAATAAATTTTGTAACGAAGTTTTATCTTGTTTATTCTAAGAGAATCAGTATTTTTATTTCAATTTTAAATTTTTTGTCGAAACTTTTCAATTAATTTATGAAACTAGCTTGTAATGATTCCATTACAAATATCAGAGTGTGAATAAAAATCAAACTTTATATTTAATAAATAGTGAACAATAAACAATGCACCTCAATATTAAATAATAAACAAATTCAATCGATTTTAATCTTCTATTATCTTTATAATTCTTTTGTATAATTTTAATACAAAAACCATATCTTCAGAAACAATCTCCTTTCTAAAACTACTGTGAAAGACTGTGATGAATTTTCTTTATCGAAAAAATTAGGTAATTTGTAAATAGAATTTAGCATATAAGAACACAAGAATGGTTCAAAATACTTAAATGAAATTTAATTTAGACCGAAGAAAATAAAATGCAAAATCCAATCGTTAAGAATTCTTTGGAAGTACAGTAAAGTTCCGAGTTCTAAAAATTTATTGCATCTTTGTTATTTTTACAACCAGGAACTTCACCACTTGGTGATCATTATTGTGTTGCACACAACTTCATCCAGAAATCCAGCAGTAATTTTAAGGATGTAATTATTTCTACATTTAACCACTCGAAGCAATAACGTAAAAGATGATAAAAATTTTGTTATTTAAAGACCTGCCACATATCAAGATCGCTGATGACAATACTAGGATCAACTTTGGAATAGTAACAGCTAAAATTCTGTCCTATGTTGGCATATTGCCGGTAGAAAATACTGCAATTCAACATTGGAGGGTATCCACAGCCTTTTACGTTAGGAAACAATTTAGCTCCAGTGAAATACCACTCGGAATTGTTACCCATGAGACCTAAGAAATATTGTAGATTTTATTACAATTTAAAGTTACATAAGATTCTAAACATTTCAATACTATTTAGTGAAGAATTCTTATTGATATTATATAGTTAGGTTTAAATCAACCAATAGGGGACAGCTATCCATTACTTCTACCACTATTCATTCTTCTCATGTTCATTATATTCCACAGCAAAGTATACTTTACAGTAAAGTTTATTACATCATCAAATAAAATGGTTCAAAATAACATTTTAATGCATGACCCTTTACCCTAATTCACTCCAATTAACTTTGTTTTTACATAAAATATTAGTCCATTGGTACAAACTGTTTATAATACATACATAAAAGCATTTAGAATAAATAATAATGCAAGGAAATCATTTCCAAGAGAATTTTAAAAATTATCAGCTGAAAATAGTTATTAAATTGAACTTTGCTTTGCATACCCAGCATGAAAAATTGTAAATTATCGTTAAACACGTCGATGAGTTGAAAAGTCCTGGAGCTACCTTATTATCGCGAATTGAGGAAATGTCTGAGTAGCTTCGGCCAGTATTGAAGTTGATGTTTATGTTTATGATGAATAAAAATAAAATAATAAAATTATACCTGTAGGAAAAGATTTTGGCAGTTTGAGATCGACGTCTTCATCGAAATCGTCATCAAAATCTTCAATGTAATTATTGTAATCTCTTGGAGATCGTTCGTATCTCAATTTAGCCTCGGCCTCGTCATCCTCGACACCTCCTCCCGCCCTGCCCTTCCCGTCAGTTCCATTCACCGGTAATTTATAATTCACGCGTATTTGCGTACAATCATAAAGTTCCTTTGTACAACCCTCTCTACATGATGTCCACGAACAGTTGCTAGCACCTGAACTCATGATTAATGCGACCATTGACTTAAGCTAATTTTGTGTGTCATCGATAATACAAGTAACAAGTAATACTTGATATACGCAGGCGTACACTAACCACGTGAAGATACAGATCGCAAGGTAATGATTGAGAGGATGTAAGACAAGCACAATTAGTGAGAAACAAGCACACTTGGAACACACACAAAGAAAAAAATTGCTTTTAAGAATTTAAAGGTCAATGAATGAAATCAAATTTATCTAGGGAATTTTGAAAATCTGAATTTGATGGAATAATTTATGCACTCTGATCATCAAGGTTGAAATTAAAAGCATTATTTGGTAGTTTAAAATTATTTATTAGAAAAAACTCCATTCAGGATCTTCCATTTTATGAAGAATTAAACTTAGATCAACGAGAAAAAAACCTTTAATAATCTCTAAACTTTGAGAACATCCATGACATACAATATTTTTCAAGGAAATCTATATTAAGTATTGGAAGCTGATTTTTATCTCAACAAACTTTTCTGTTTTAATGGATATTTCATATGATTTATTTAATAGACATATTGGTTATTAACAACATGTTATTTTTGACTTTGGACTCCAATAACTTCTGACTAAAATATCATATGGCACAAAACTGAAGATGATAGAAAAGTAAAAAATGTCTTCTAGAACATTCTGGTTTTAGATTTTCATTAAAAATCTTTGTCATACTTTAATTTTTTTTATTCAAAAGTTTGATCGAAAAATTACTTTTTAACCTATCTCCCTTATGTAACTGTCATTTTCCTAAAACTGCAAAATCAAGAAACTTTGAACATATTTCTTCAGTTAAATCTGTCCTCAGAACTCGTGTAAAGCGACAATTGTCGTGATTCCTCTTTTTAAGTGTTCACAGCTGTTGAAAATTAAAAAAAAAATGATCATTTTTTTTTTGTTAAGTTATAGAACAGAGGGAAGATTAAACTTTTCTCTAATCTCACATTTATAAACTACAAAAATAAGCACTTAATTGCATCCTCATTCACTGGAGTACAAAATTCTTTCATCAAAATACAAAGTTTTTAAAATCATCAACAATTGTTTATTTTTTTAGTTGACTTATGAATTTTTTATACAAACTAGCATATTCCAGAAATAACTTTAAACATTTTTGTCATCTGTTTACAATGTTAAAACAGATTTTGAGGATAACAGTAAATTGAGAAGATAGTTTAATACTTATTTAACAAGGTTACTATTATATTCACAGCAAAAATCGTGCAGACAAGTAGAATGGTTAACAAGAAATAGTTGAATGATGGAATATAAAAGTAGATAAAGAAAAAGGCTTTAGCAGTCAGAGGACATATATTTTTATTAACTGACAAATGATATGAAGTAAAAGTATAGATGTGTGTCAGTGTATAGACCAAGAAGAGGAAGGAAATAGTATATTTGCAAAAATATACAATAGAACATCTGTCTTGATATTGAACAGTAGATTCGAAAGTAATGATGACGAAAAAAAATACTCTGGGAATTCCATCAAATATAGTGAATATCATTTGAAGTAACGGAATGTTCAATAAGATTTTTTCCCCGAATTGCATGATCCTGTTAGGATTAGTTGATATATCACAGCATGTTATTGAATTAATCCATTATCCAGATTGTTTCTATGTGTTACATTCTATCTTTCTAAAGTGAAAATATAACATGTAGACTTGAAAAAAAAAGTTAATTGAAATTAAAGAATTCTTCAATGATTAAATTTGGAAATGAACTGAAGAATTGTTCAGATTTATTAAAAATAATAATGTAAAACCTTTTCCAAGAGGTTTTTTATATGAAATTCATTCATTCATGACCAAGTTAAGTGTGTATTGATAGATGAAATGGTGAAATAAGTAACAAAAACAGAAGTCGTTGGTAAGAATTGGATGAAGTAAAGGAGAGTATGGAAATATAAACTCGTTCACGTTTGCATGTTAAACGAGTTCATAACATGCACAGCCACGAAGTAAAAGCTATTTGCATTAAACAATGTGAGTTACACCAATGTTTTTGTTTTTTTTTCTGATTGTTCACCTCTCCTCGATTCTACATCAATGGTGATACATTCAGCCGGTTGTGTTTCGAAATCCATGAAAATAGTGGTGAATGCAGGGTCGATGACGAAAGGAACCAAGAAGAGAAAGGCGAAGAGGCTGAAGGTGCCAAGGAGAATGAAGAACGCGGTTGTATAGAATAATAGTTTCTGTAGAAACGTCTGGTCTTCTTTCCCGTCCGCCATCTTGGTGAACGGGGGCAGTGCTGGTAGCGCTGAAGCTTCTCAATACTTGCGTTGGATGTCCAACGATGCAGGGATGATTATTTTGTAGAATTCGCCTCTGAAGAATATTTGAGTTTTTTAAATATTCACATACATTAAACTCAAGTTAAGCACGTGGTACTTTTACTTGCGTCAACCATCAGTAAATCGATCCTTTTCTTCAAGGTTAACTAAATCAATGGCTATACATATCGGAGGATTTTTATAAATATATCAACATATACATTTTAAAATTATGCATTCATGTCATTTAATCAAATTACTGTATTTTTTTATTTCTCTCTACAGTTATGAAATTTCTTTGGATGTTTATAATAATTGCTTCAAGTTAAACTGTCTAATTAAAAGACGTAATTAGGTTTGATCCATAATTTACCGGATGAAAAATTCAACATTGAAAGCACACGTGAGTCTTTAACACGCAAGCTTATTACAAAAAAAAGCTTGAGCGTACAAAATACACGATGGCATTAAGAATAACTCGTTTTATATATATGATGAATATTTTTTTTTTATAATATATATATATATATTTTTTATGCAATACGAGTTTTTTCTTTTGTTATGAATGAAAACTAAAGTGTATAAAAAATTAATATATCTGATCAATAATAGTCTCACTTTTAGCTTAAACTATTCTGGATATTGAATCAATCAAAAATTTTCTTTTGAGATGAAGTCGATTGTAAGCCAAAGATTTTTTTTAAATGTGATGAAATAAATAAAAATTATTAATAATACCCCCTATAATAAAACGAAACGATGATCGGGCATACTTGCCCCTTTCTGGTGCCCCCGCATCCTTTTTGTCCCTCCTATTGTCGTTTTCTTCTTATCTTCCACAATAGCCCGCAGGCCTCCTTTCACTATCTGCCACTGATATCTACTGAGCACATTTATCCGACAAATATCATCGAAAAATTCAAAAAAAATCTTGCCACCTTCTGTCTTTATTTGTCTCCTTTACGTCATGATTCTTTCCATTTATTTTCTCTCCTTAAACTTACCACTTATTTTTTGTATTTTTAATACTCAACAATATTTTTCGTATTATCTCTCGAGTTTGATCAATTAGGGGGGGAATAGTGTTAATCTATTAAACCGTTTATTCACACCCTTTTTCAGTAACGTGTCATGACTGGTCTCGAGTAATTTTACACTACACACTTAGTACGGCGGCAAATGCCGGGCTACTGCAGTCCAAGGAGCTTTTGGGCGAGCTTATTTTCTAGACGACAGCAGCGCCTCAGCGGCATCTAGTAGCATCGATCACCACTCTTCCAGGGCATCCCCATGTACGAGAGTTGAACAGTAATCAGTTCATTTATTCAGTTATTTTAGTCTGGTGCTACTTTGCTTAATTAAATAATTCAACTATCACTACATTCCTATAAATCTCGTTATTAGCTATAGATCCTTTCAATTACTAACCCTTTTTTTGGTGTTTTTTTCATTGATTATTGAAATTTAAATTCATACTTATATAAAAATAGACAATTTTTGACAAATGCTCATGCTTCCTTGATGTTCTTTTAGAACAATGACAAGGTAAAAAGTTACTTCAAAAGTCTTAACATCTGAAATCTATACATGTTTAAGCTCAAAAACGTCTTAACGAACTTCCAGGGATCTATACTTGCTTTGAATCTGCGAGTATTCAAAGTCAAGAACTCTCGACTCTCGAACCTATATCGAATTGTTGATATAACAAGAGTCATAAAGTGTAGGTCACTTGATATCAAGCATTATTTATATATCATCTATGAATTTTAATGATTTTTTATTTATTTATTCTCACAGGTGCAGAAATGACTGGATAGCTATATACCTACAAGTTACAGTCACAGTGACAATTAAAATAACAATCACAATTAGTCGAAATAAGATCTATAAATCTTATGACTTTACGGCTTTAAAATTGAAAGAAAAAAATATTTATTTATTGTCGACATTTGAATACATTTCACACTAATCAATCTATTTTTGTTAACAACATTTGACATTGCTGGAAAAAATTGGCCCACATGCCGACACTATTTGGGCTTGAGCCAATAGTGTCTAAAAAATTTTGCCAAATCCTTTGGAATATTTATCACGTCTTCATGTCTGAATTCGCGCAGCTGTAAGTCCAATAGTATCGCGTGCCAATAAAGAATTTTTCTTAATTTCAAAATTTTTAAATAAAAAAATTCATATTCATTACAAATAATATTTTTAAATTAAATTTGTTTTCACACTCGCTGAATGTCAGCAAAAAAATAAAGGAAAAGAAAACTTTAATTGAACCTTCACTTATTGTAAAGCTCTGAGACTTGTGAATTGGACAAGTAGTAAAAACCGATAAGTGATCAGACCTAAGGATATCTGTTGAATCGTAGAATTTTTTCATTTTTTCTTTAATAGATATATCAAAAAGTTGATGAATAGAAGCTTTTGTAAAAGGTTAAAAGCTCATGTCATGGACAAAGACATTGTAATTGAATAGCTGGAGGCAATGAAAAGTCATAAAATTTGTGATTATATGGTATTGATTAAGTAGTAAAATACGGCAAACTACAGACGGCGCTACATTCTATCTTGTGTTACTGCCATGTTTGTTTCTGCTTAAGAAAGCTTAACTGCGGAAAGTAATCTTTTTACTACCGAAGAGCTGACAAGGTCTTCTCAGTTACGTAAGTAATCGTTTCATTATTATTTTGTATACATCAGTGAATAATATTTCTTTCATTGAATTTTTATGAATAACTTCTCTACACGTGGGGTGCGCACGCGGTCTGCAGTATATCTGTCTACTGTAGTATCTAATGGTCGTTAATGTAAACAATGTTATTTCCTTTATTCAAAACAACTTTTTATCAATTACACAACCACAAAATGATCATCAATACATTTTTAATCAAAATAATCAATTGTTTGCCATACGAATTTCAAGCTTGTTTAAAAATAAAAGCTATATATAAATATTTAATTACACTGCAGAGATGTGTTATTAAGTGACATTGAATGGTAAAAAATAATTTGACAATAATTAAGTGTTATGTATTGAGATGTTTTTTTTTATGAACTCGAGAAGAGTTTGAATAATAATGAAAAAGTGTGCGAAGTGACAGCATCCTTTTTCTGTTGTTACTTAGTCACGTGGTGTAACGTTGCGGATAAAAATGATATCAGCATTAGGTTGCTCAATATATCAAGCATAATATAACGCTCCAACGAGTTATTATGTAGACTTGTTAGTTTTATTAATGTGAGGGTTGTACATATGTTATTTTAGAGGTATAATATATGGAAAGAACACAAAAAAATATATGTAACGGTTACATTTTTAGAATAATCAATAACTATCTATTCCTGTATATAAATTGATATATTGCTAGTTTGTTGAATAAACCAGGAAGAAAAACGACCACAGTAAATTATCTCTTAAAAAAAAAAATAATTCAATGTATGATTTTAATTTATTAGTTTGATTATTTAATGGATTATCTTTTTATTTGTCAACTTCAAAGTTAGAAAGTTATAATGAAGATTATGGTATACATGTGACCTGCATATTTTATAATTGCGGAAAACGAGTAGATACGTATTACATTTCAACGGCGCCACGCCGTCTCTACAACTCCTGCACGCAAAGGCGTACGCTCAATAAAACAACTTTCATGTTAAAGCAAATGCCCTCATTTCCTCTTTTACATTAAATCCATGTGACCTGCATTAAGTTTGTGTATTTTACTTTATATATAACACTGCTGCTAAGTTGTAAACAATTTCATTTATTATGCTTTATTAGTTTGTTACGGGAATAAGAAAATATAATTGATGTCAATATCTGTTTCAAATTTTGGTGAACTATTTATCAATAATAAACAAAGTAATACAATTACAAATAATATGAAGTTAATCAAGTTTTAGTTTGATGTCATTTATTTAATTAAATATCCAAGTTTCACTAAAAGAACACTAAGTAAAAATAGTATTTTATTTCATGCATGGTGGGATTGAGTAATTACTCTGAGTCATTGATCAACTGAATGATTAGAACTGAACAGAAATATTACTGCTTATTTTGTTTTTTTTTTTGTTATTAAAATAATATTATAGTTACAAAAAAGTTTATTTTATTTTTATTGTTTCAAATTCTTATTAATATAAATAAAAAGCTTTCTCACAAATATGTAAAATACTTTTTATTTACTCTTCTTTAAATTTTTATATACATTCTAAGTTCAACTAACTTTTAATATCTATAAAATTCATAAAAATATTTTGTTTAACATTCTTGGAGATTATAAATAATCTAATTTTTTAATTTATGTAAATATCAATTATTTATGTTTTTCATAAAATTTATTGACAATAAACTTCAATGGCAAATTAAATTATAAATAACATAAAGTACCTTTGATTAATATTTATTATTGAATGATTTTATTACTTTATTTAAATAAATAAATTACTAATTTTCCAAATGACTTTATTAAATACTAGTTAATAATTCAATTTATCATGAAAATATCTCATATATTATTTCTAAAAGGTATTTCTTCCTGGAAAGCTTAGATCATTATAAATATATAACCAAAATTAAAAACTTATAAATCATTTTAAAGCTTATGTTCTCCACTTTGGGAAGAAAATCTAAAAAAAATTGGTCAAAACCAGTATCTATTTTTTTTTTTTTTAATATTTTTTTTCAAATTGTTTTCAAACATATTATATAGCTAACGCATGCGAATAATTTTTAGAGCATCAAGAACTTATACATTTACTTATGTTCAAATCATATTAACAAATAATATTAAACCACAGCATTGTGCGAAATTTTTTCACGAGTCAGCTAGTTTATAATTAAAATTGTTGTTGATAAAATAAGTTTGATTAGAGAAAACCTATTGATGCATCTGAAGAATGAATTGGGATAAAAATAAACACGATTCATTATGGAATAGTTTGAAATAATTTTCATTCATGAAATAGATCAATTACGTAAAAAGCTCATCTTCTTATCTGATATGAATACGGTGAATTAGTACAAGGAAATTATATCTGTTATTAACTTTTTTCATTATTTTGAATTTCGTAGAAAACTAGAAATAACAGAATTCAACATTCAATTATTAAAAAAGAAGGTATTGGATTTATAATATTTATAAAAAGTTCGATGATGTTGAATTAAAAAATGATTCAAACTCGTAAAACGTTTGCTATACGTTGTGATCAGTCTATGTGAAACAATTGCCAACTTAATTTACATCAATCATCAAATAATAAATATAATTTTTATCATAAATCTTTGATTATTTGATTGGCTTTATACAGTTACTAAATTTTTTCTCTCTAAAAATTTAAAAGTGTATGAAAAAAAATAAAATTCTCTCTTATTCTTAAACAAAAAAATTTCAAAATATGCCCTAGATTTTTTTCAAATTAAAAAAATTTCGTATCATTTTCAAAACTTGTTAAAGTTTTCCAACAAAATATTTCATGCTGAAATTTATAATTTCCAATCAATAAAACTTGACATATTTTTTACAACTTTTTTCCATTACTTCTAAAAATATATTAACTATCAACTCAGACTCTAAAACTCACCAACAATATTAACTGTACTGGTTTTAATCAATCATAGTTACTGATAAATCATTTTATAATTTCACTTTTCCACTACCTAGTTTCTATACATTATTATCAATTAATGCAAATGTGACCTTTTGTTCCAAAGTTTTCTACTGATTGCAAAAATTAAAAATTTCCTCAGTTACTATTGATATAACCATTTCCATTACATCTAACCCCCATTAAAATGAAAAACGATAAAAAAATAAAAAATAATTGAAGAGTTATTTTCCAATCAAATAATATGTTCGACATATCTCCAAAGTTATCAACTCAGTAGATTCAAAAATATTTATTTTCATCTGTCATGAAACAGATATACAATAAATGAAGCTTTCTGATTGTTGATTTTGCACATTACAATTTAATAAAATCGTTGCATGATGTGTAAAATTATAGTGACGTCACTGCGGCATAGTCTACTAAATTGACCTTCAAATGCGCATGCTCATTTATTGATTCTCCCCTGGTATATAATCTAAAAGTGAAGATCACGCGCATTCGCAGGTCGATGTTGGTTGTGCAGGTCGCGACGGCGCAATACAATTCGCATATTTGCTCATGCTGCGGTAAAAACGTTCGTGATACCGTAGTGACAGGGCTTTTTTTAATGTAAGTTAGATACCGGTACTGTTAGTACCAAGAAGTGCTAATAATATCAAAAAGACGTGACAATATAGTAAAAATGAGAAAGAAAATGCGAATACAATGATCATGTTGGCTGTGAATTATTACTGAAAGACTTTTTATTTTAATAACATATAATAACACAAAGGTTGAACAAAACATCCTGACACAAAAGTGGAGTCAAGATCATGCCAAAATCAGTGCCTGTGGAAGACCTTGTGATACCACCACAGGATGGTCGTATCTGCGGAACTATTTGTATCTGTCAGATGACAGCAGTCTTATCATCAGTTGCCCTAGTATATCTTACAGTAGCCATTTATATGCCTAGTACACGAGCTTTCTCGTCTGGAATCACTCCCGTCCCTGTTATGTGCACTACAATACGCACTGTAAATGCTGACAACTGTGACTGGGGCAGCTGTGGTGAATGGTGTCTATCAAAGACATCAGGACCGTGTTCACAAATTCATGTCAATTTACGTAGAAATGGATCCACCATACTCTTGGCAAACTGTACCAATATAACAAATAAAACTTGCTATGGTATTGACCAAGAGAATGCTAAAAAGTCCAAGTGTATAGCAGATGAATGTAAAAATCTCACAGGTACATTCAATTGTAGCGCGGGTGTTTGTATTAATATTACTGATGCCTTTGAGTGCAATTTCCGTGACACCGATCCACCCTTAAAGTGTTCTGGAAGACGTGGTAAAATCACGTGTATAGCCATAGATGGATTGTTTAATTGTAATCGAGGGACTTGTGAACGAATTAGGACACCTTACAATTGTGATCGTAGATGTGTTGATATCCCTACCAGAAATAAAAATGTCATATTGCTAAGTGGGGACAAAGTGTATCTGAGTCAATGTGAGAAAGCTTTAGATGTTGAGACTAATAGAGAAATTTGGAATGAAAATAGAGATGATGTGATGATGGCATCTTGTTATGGCATTTATAATTCTAGTTTAGGTATTGAAGCTGTTGATTGTATTAATGGATCAGTATTAGAGAAAAATATGCTCACTGACTTAACTAATTTTACATACTTATCATATCTTAATTTGTATGCTACCAAGCTGCTCGACGAAACCGGAAATGTAACGCCACCTGAGCAGAACTTGATAATAGCTAATGAAAGTCGATTATTAATTAATCTTGAGGGTTGTGTCAATACATTACGTGATGAATGTAAAGATTTCCTGCATGAATATGGTAAAGATGGTTCTGATCATAATGCAAGAGCTAGATTTCCTTGTTTTTATGCTAAAGACAAAACAGAAATTGTAGTATCGAGGTTCGACCTTGAAAATACATGGAAAGAATTCCTTGTCTCATTACTGTTACCTAGTATATTATTTGTTGTAAGTTGCTTGACATTAATTCTCTGTCAGAGAACTGTGGTTGTTGGTGATGATGCGAAAATGAGGTTCAAGCTAGCTGGAGGCATGAGTGACATTCAGAAAAGCACTTCTGGCACTTTGGGTGATGCTGGTGGAGGAGATTCTGTTATGGCACTCTGAGATCCGTCACGTAAGTCATCAGAATTATTATCAACATCATCATCTATACACTAGAAGGAAAATCGATTTTTTTCTAGTGTATTTTATTTATAATTGACTAAAGGTTCTTTTTATAAGTTTTTCTTATAATTCAACACTTTTTTACAGGCATTCCCCTCCTGGAGGAGAGCCCAGCTCGCCAATCAATATTCTCCTTACGCGGGCACTATTAAAAGTGTACAAGAAAAAGGAAAAAGAACAGAATGAACATGTTGAAGGAGGGGAACGCGTGATTAAAATTAAATCTCCATACTTTTAGATCAATTGTCAGTCGAAGAAAAAAAAACATAAAGTAATTACAAGGAAAATCAATAATCAGATAACGCTATAAAGTGCAGCATGATTTTCCTATATTTGCACTGCCTGTATAAAAGATTAAATTTAAAATGAATATATAAATTGTTGGAAATATATACACGTGTTCAAAAGTGATAGTTTAACAGAATAATGAAATGAGAATAATGAATATTACGAGTAACGTGAAGGGATAATAATTCTTCAACAAATAAATACAAGTGCGAAATTCGTATTCACGCTTCCACGTCGATACTTAATATAAACAAATGATTATTTTGCATTACAAAATCTATAAACACTAATTACACTATAACGGCATACGTACCAATAATCTGCAATGAAAAAATTAATTATTAACAATATTAGATAGGAACAATAATTATAATAATAACAATAATGATAATTTATAGCATATTTAATAAGCACTACATATTAAATCATCTGGTTCGTTGGATTAATTTTTTTATTTTTGGTAATTGATAAATAAATTATTCAACTGGCAGGCGACCGGTTTGTACAATCACTCTCTCTTTCTCTCTTTACCATAATAAATAGAAATTAACTGCAGTAGACATAAATAAATAATTATTCTGTACCCGAGGAAATGTGAACAATAGTTGTTGATAATTTTTTATTTAACACAAGTACTCCATATGTAATATAAAATTTACAGACGTGAGTTGCTTGTGTGTCTAAGTGCTGAACTGATAAACGTAATCGCGTGACCTGGAGTCGACAAGGAAAGTCCGCAATACGCCGAGTAACTTACGGCGGAGGGTGGAATCATACAAATATTCTAATTCCGAGTTATTGGGTCTTAGTGACCCAAACCACACATTCACTATTGACTCCGACGAATCAACGGTGATAATGGGGGCTCAGGAAGAGGACAAATCAAGTATTGCTGGCGGGAACAACAGTACCACTGGACCTCTTCCAATTATTCAAGTTGCCTCATTTGTAGAGAAAGCTAAATTCTATACCTCACTATGTCTAGGAACTACAGCCATTCTTGCAGTTTTTGGCTTTCTCTTCCTCATTCCATTTGTGGTAGAACCAGCGATTACAACTATTCTAGCTGATTTTTCACCGCATGCTGTTGCTTGTATTATCACTGATCATGTTTATGCTGAAGGACTTAAAAATTGCTCTTGGGCGAGTTGTAGAGAAGGTTTGTATCAAATTCTTTCTTTAATTAAATGGTGGAGAGTAGGAATATGTTAATCACTCACAAGAACTATAATTTATTGGGAAAATGTCTTTTCAGATTTAATATGATGAAAACTAGAGATTAAATCGTTTTGCATAATAAGGGAAATTACTAGCACTCATTCAAGTTGATAAAATACCATAACATCATGCTCTCTTATTATAGGTTTCATTTTTTAATTTAAGTATTAAATATCTCCAGTCAACTGAGAAATCATTCACTTTTTAATTTAATGCTGGAACTTGATTAGTAGTTAGGTTTTAAAAGCTTGGAGAAATGGTCTTAAATTTTATTTCAAAGAATTTAAAGAGCTTTTTTTCAAAGAAAACTTTAAACAAAATTTGTCTAGATGAGCTAAAGAATGTTTTGTTTAAAATACTCTTCTAGAGAGAACATAGCAACCTTTTTCTCTCTCAAGGTTGTTATCGATGAAAGTACTTATAAGGGATCTGATAATAACTAACTCTATCTTCTTTGACGTTTTTCTCAGCTGACTAGAACTCGGAGTTATCTAGTGATATTTAGAAATATCTCTCCAAACATTTTCATTAGAAAAAATTACTTATCTCAAAGGGGTGAAACCATCCTTTTCAACATTATCTTCTAGATTATATTTTGTACGACAACTAGTATTTATTTATATTTTTCACTTTATTACTGAAGTTCATTCTATTAAGTTAGATTTCTTTTTATTTAGATATCAAGATTAAGATTTCTGAAACGATCATAATGGTTAATTAATTTTTAATATTCTGATACTTAATTACGTATTCGACTTTTTGAATAATAAATTTTTTACCAACAATAAAAACTAGTTCACATTTTATTCAATAAAGAAAGCTATAAAAAGATCATAATCTTTAAAAGAATCTTTTGAATAATTTATTGTATAAAATATTTCTTTCACCATTTCGTCATCATAAAAATATAACAATAGAACATAATAAAATATGTATTGAAGACCTAGTGGAAAATTTAATTAAATTTTTATCTCTGGAATTGAAAATTATTCATTGTTAATTTAATTCCATATTGATCTTTATATGTTACATTATTTAATTATGTTAACTATAAATTACAGCTCCCTGAATTCACCGATTTAATTCTAATATTTATCTATTCCAGGCTGCACAAGTGCTGCATTACGGTGCCATCAAATCAGAGTCAATTATTCTCGATTACCATACGATGAATTCATATCAAAACCACCAGGTTCTATATCGTGGGACGTAGCAGATACGAAATTTTTCATAAACACTGAAGGCTGTGGCTACCCACCTCGAGTAAATTGTTCAGAATTTGCCAAAAAATTTGGATACCGAAATATTGGAAAGATAATTCCTTGTTATTATAGTCGAACATATCCACAAACTGTTGTTTCAAGGTAGGTGTCTCAATATGCCAAGTGATCATTACCACGAACCATATACCAAAGGATTAATTATATTAAAAATTTTTAATAATTTTTAGGTATTCATGGGATGAGAATTTGAGACATCTTGTGCTTGCTTTAGTGACACCAATTATATTATTTGTGATGTCTCTTGCTGTGTTGTGTTACTGGTACTGTCCACCAATGAGCAAGAGTTGTGGGAGTCCAGGTCGCAATCTCATTGAGAAATACTCCAGAAAGGAAGAGTAAGAGTCTGATCTTAACTTATTTTTATCACTAATAGCTTAATTAGCTGGTCTAGTGATGAAATCATATAAACAATAAATATTTAAAATAAAATAATTGATCATAGTATATCATGATCTTTGATGAATCAGACTTGAATTATTAGCTAACTTGAAGCTAATTAAAAACTGATTGAATGAATTTTATTTTATAAACAGATATGTGATAATACAGACTTTCTATTCATATTTAGTTGAAAATCAAGTAAAAATAGATAGTTGATTTATGGCATAAAACAAATTTATCTGTGATGATTCATCAAAATTGATTTATTTAATGAAGTAAATTCATAAGACTGCTGTTTTAAAGTATTTAAGGTGTAATATTAGAATTACGTTGATACTTCAATTGATTGTGTCATCAACTAGATTTACTTAATAAACTATATCCTCAAATAACTTGAAAAATAAGCATAAAAATTCAGCAGTGACAATTAATTGATGGTATCAAGGTGATTCTTGTTGGAAAGAAAATATAGAGAATTGTTTCTTCAACTTGTTAATAGTGTAACACCTCTTTTACAGCATTCTTGCAGAGGACGAGTTCGAGGAAGACGAGGAAGAGTACTGATTGTTACCAAGGGCTCACCCCCCTGCACGGGAGTGACGCCGAAAGAACTGTCAAGCCAATCTGAATTATTTCATTTCATAAATATTGTTGAAAAAAATTGGTCAGTGATTACAAAATGTCGTACAATTAGGGTTTAAGTGGAAGATAATAATTTTAAGATATGATATTTAACTTGTGATATTTTCAACATATTTATGAAGTGAACGAATCTTTGTGATTTTAAACTCGATCATCTGCCAGTATTCTTAATGTCATCATTTTATGCATTTATACATAACAATGTCGCGACGTTCAATACTACAAAATCTTTCAACTTAATAATTTTGAGATCGAGAAAATCCATTTAAATCTTACTCTTCTGGAATTAGTTTTAGATTTTAGTTTGAATATTTATGGTTTGAGTAGTTTTTTGTCTAATTATAGATACAAAACTTGACAGAATTAAACAATCACTCGATAAAGCAAATAGTGATTACCAACTTTTCGAAAGTAGTATTTGAGAAAATATTTTTCCACCAAATTGAAAAATTAATTATATTTTCAAAATTAGAAAATAGAATCCAACTTTTAATTAAAATTCGTTGACTGAAAGTTCGAACCAAACTAGTTTTTCAATATCTAATTTATTGCTATGCAATGTTTGTTTCAAGAGTTACGAAAGTTTGAAGTTGAAAACAAAATTTGTCTTTCAGTAATTAATAACTCTAGTGTAGAAGTTGAACAACAGTTATCAAAAAGCGATACAATAGATGCTAAAATTAATAATAAATTTTGGATGGAACATTTGGTAGAGTGATTGAAGTTTTAAAGTTTTGAAATAATACATTGCTCATAAAACTTCTGGAAAATTTCTATTTTATCGAGTGATGTTTTAACTTTACTGAGTAGTGTATTGATTTTCGATATTAAAATAACTTATTCGTATTCCAATAAATTAGTTGCATTTAATCGCCATAGATTATCGATTAAAAATAAAAATTAAGTTTTGCAATAATTATTCATAATATTATGAAAGATTTTCGTATAAATAATTGCCACAATTTTATACATGATGATCATTGAATGAACAATTGTTCACATTTCATCGAATTTTATTACGTAAAAATAATGTGAACAATAATCTCATTTTCTGTTTGTTCTTCTGAAAGACGATTTTAAAAATTTTCGAAGTATTTGCATTTTTTTTATCGATAAAAATTTTTATATTACGTCTTCGTGATTGTCCAATTATGGAGACTTATCACAGAAAAAGAATAAAACAGAATTACGGATAATATTACTAACAATTTAAATGAAACAAAAATAATGATAGATACAATGATGACTTGAACATCTGGAATATGATTGTGAGTACTAAATCAATTTTGACATCAAGGCTTTAAGTAGGCATAAAAAATTATTACAATTAAATTTAAAAAATCTCCTACATCTTATATCAATATTTCAATAGATAACTAAAAAATTCATTTTTAAATTTTCAATAGTTAAATAAAATTACAATCAAATATTTCTAAATTCAGCATCAAGTAAAAACTTCTAAAATACCCTTAAGGGTAATGAGAATTAGTTTTGGTAATTTGAAATAATTTACTATCATTGATAGTTGGTATAATTTTTAGTTAGAATAAATAAATGAATCGTTACTTAGTCACATTGTATCTCTTTCAATTATTCTCCATCTTTTAAAAATTTGTAAATATGACAATTGTCTGTGAGCTGTATCGTAATAAGTGACCATTGTAAATAACTAATTATACGATTTAAAATTTGACAAAGCTTTTATGTATTTTAAAGTAATAATTATGCGTTGTTCTCAAATTTAAATAAATTTTTTGCTGAACGAATAATCTTATTGATCGATAATACTTAACGCACAATTTATTTAAAACCTTTTAAGTAGATCAGCTCTGAAACATGATAGAGAAGAGCTTTCATAAACTTGTCGAATTTATTTGAAGGTTAAAAACAAGTCTTTTTTCACTTTCTTATCTGTGTGCTCCAGTTTTAAGGCGCAAACTCACCCCTAAAGTGAACATTTGCGCTCGCGCATGAACCTAAATATATGTGTAGACCTCAAATAAATATTGTACGCATTTATCCTGGTCTCCCCTCTTGTCTTCAAACAGTTAACTCGAGTGGTTCGAAGAAGCATAGGAACGAATTTGGGAGTTGAATTTTTATTTTGTCTTTACTTCACGTTATATTTCACTACGAATAGGATTATAACGTAGTTTATGTTATTGAACAGTAAAGACAAAGGATGGACGGAAATGAGATCAGTGTCTTGTGTTATTGTAGATATTTAGTGTGGACCTAAAATTTAAGTTTATCACAAAAATAAAAAACGTTGGTCAAAATACCAACGAATCGACCTACTGTGATCATTAGAAATTTTTTCATCAAATATTTTTTTGAAATTTTCATCATTTTTCAATTCCAGTAAAATCATTATTTTCATTGTTTTTACAATTATTTTATATAAGCAAATATATAATAATTAATTATTACAAATATTACATGTAATTATGCAATAATTAATAAGCCATTTCTAAATGTTAAGCGATGACCTCCATTACGATAATTACTAGCTTTTACGGAGAAAGTATTTTTTTAATGATCGAAAACATGCACTCAAGCTGTTGGGTATCAAGTTTCAAACGTTAATAAGTCTCATTGTTATAAATAGATTAATAAGTAATAAAAACAAAGTATAACAAATAAATAATTTACACAATTGTGTACTGTTCGTGTTTATATACACTTGTTTCTGCCAATGTACATAATCAGAATGACATAAATTAAAATAAATATCAATCATAAAATAATAAAATAATAAATTTTTATAAATTTTTCATCAACTTATATTCAAATCTAAAACATTTTTCATAATAAAAATTAAAGCTAAAGTGGGATTGATGAGTGGAACAATTTAAATTATATCATAAATTTTATTCAAATAAATTTTATCAAGTCAAAATTTATTATATTATAAAGAGAAATTAAATAGAGGCTTAATTGGCACATTGAGATGGGCCGAAAATACAAGTCACGTTTAATACCTGAACAAGATCGCCGAATATGTGGGAGTATCTGTTTCTGTCAATTCACCATAGTCATCAGCTGTGTAGCTCTAGTCTACTTAAGTGTAGCTATCTACATACCTTCACATAGGTAATACACTATTCAATGATACTATTGATGATAAAACTTTCTTTATCCTTGATATTACTGACATTAAGAGTAATAATACCAATTCTATGAAATTGATCAAAATTACTAAATTATTTTAGAGCATTCAACGCAGGTATCGATCCAGAACCAGTAATGTGCCAAACAGTAAATACAACACTGGTAAATTATTGTGCTTGGGCAAGCTGTGGAGAATGGTGCTTGACCAAAACAACAGGATTCTGTCCACAGATCCATGCAACAGTTAGACGAAATGGCACTGATGTTATATTTCAAAACTGCACCAAGTTTACAAGCATCTCATGTCCACAAGTAAGTTTCTCTGTCTCATCAATTATAAATGTCATCAATAACTAAAGACGAGAAAATCAACTATGTATTACAAAATAGATGTCAAAGGTTATCGGTCTACACCTAAAGGAAACACTACCGTTACCATGGTTATAATTACATTGACGCTCTTATTTTCCTTTGTCCTAGAATTCTCGTTCCATGGATACTTCGATTTCTCAACATCAATATTATTATTTCCTACTTATATTAAGAAATGGAAGTACTAATATAGTCAGGTTATTTAACTAGATTGTTGATAAGCTGTAGTCAGGTATATTTATCCACTTGGTGTATACTCTCTTGATAAAATTAAAAAATAGGAAAATTATTTAAAGGACATGTGGTTACTAAGAAAATCATTGGGTGTGTACATATTTATTTTTGTCGTGATCATATTACCTGAATCGATCAGGTAAAGTCATATAAAAGAGGACATTCATTTTCTAATTAGATGAGAATCAATTTTTCTGATAGCAAAAGTAGACCAGTTGATGGTTATCGTTTAGAAAATGAAAAAATTGTTTTAATGAATGGGACGTTGCAGTTTAATTGGAATAAATTAAAATATGAAATCTATAATAAAGCTGAATGTCAAATATACAGCTTTTTTCTGAGTTGTTTCATATAAATGGATCATATGGAGCTTTGGTTCAGACTCTAACAATATTTTTTCGAATTTTTTTTTCTTTTTCATATAAATTTAACACTGAACTTTATTTAGTGAATATTATAAAAAATTTTCTGCCATCAATTTCCATTTTTTAGCAACGAATGAGGACAAATTATAATTTAATCTTAATAGCCATCATCTTTTTGTATTAGATGTTGACAATACTTGAGAAAATATACTACTGAATAATAATTCTTTGCAAGGTTTCAGAATATAACATAAATTTAAATTTTTTGTAAATACATTTCCTCAATTCACATTTGCATTCATCTCTTGGAAATTCAGCGACTGACAATAATTCTTTTCATGATTTAATGCAATGAAAGTAAAGTTTATTGTTGGATAATAAAAAGCAATTATTTACAAAATAAAATGTTTAATGGAAGATATAATATAAAGTGATTTGTACTTTTTTCAATGATTAAATTATCGCACAAAGATCTTGATGTTATCATGTTTTGCATCATGTCAGATTAATTCATAAGCAATTAATAGACAAACGAGCATAGATATTTTTTTCCAGTTTGAAAACTTTTTATCATGAATACTCGTAAAAGTCACGAAAGGTTTGTCTTTTAATTAATCATTTTTTCTATTTAAAATCAAATGATATTTTCTCTTTCTTTATGTACATTTTTTATCATCTCAAGTGGAATAATTCCATCGCTTTCATAAGAATCTTGAAAAAGTAATTCTGAATAAGTAATATGAAAAATGAGAACAGGATTGTCTGAAGTGAGAGGATCAAATAAATTCTCAAAATATAATAGCATAGCTTAAAATACATGCGAAATACAAACTTTGTAAATTCTTTATGCACCTCAAGGATTCAGGCAATAAAAAAATTCTCAAACATTATCATTAAAACTTAATTTTTGATACTATAAAAAGTGATTTTTTCAATAAAATAGAAATAAACAATACATTCAAGTGAAGCATTGCTAAATAACCATAGAATGAACCAAGAAAAAATATTAAAATATTTTTTGATATATTTTTCAAGGTAAATCTTCGAACTGCCAGGAGATATAATTGTAATAACGGAAGTGCTTGTGGCTCTTTATTTGGCGTGTTCAACTGCAGTCTCGGTCATTGCACAAACATGAGTGAGCTTATGTTATGTCACTACAAAGCTGACGGAATAGTTGTAGACAGTGAGAAGGATAATATGAAACTTAATGGATTCTTTAGCTGTCATTATTCAAGATGTACAAAGATCAAGCATGCTTTTTCGTGCGATCGTTATTGCCCAGCAATATCTACAAACGATACTAATATTTTTCTGATGCAAGATGACAATATACTTATAGCTAAATGTTCTGAAGCATTCGCTCTCAATCAAGCCAAAGGAAATCTACCTGGTACCAGGCTTACTGAACCACAAAAAATATGGAATGATGATAATAAACAAGGAATTATTGCTAGCTGTTTTGCTGTCAAAAGAGAAGGAAGTATCATGAGGTAAGTTGAAAAATATTGCTATAAAATCTTCGTGTGAAATATGAGAATTTATTTTCCATAAATTCTATAGAATTGAAGGATTTGTTGAGAAATTATGACTTTATAGCTGTTGGATATATTTTTATATCTCATAGCTATAGAATAAGTTTGCTAAAAATATGAATAAAGTTAGAAATAGAACAAAGTGGCATAAATAAACAACAGATAATGTATTTTACATTTAGATATGCTAAAGTTGATCAAACTTGATCTGAAAATACAATTTTTTATTATTTATATTCCCGAATGTTCTGAATATCATAATCATCTAGATTATACCAGGATGCATCAACAACCAACATCAATTAAATGCTTTCAATTTGAAGAAATTTTTCAACACAAATTTTCATCAATTGATAATTTCCTATCAAATGCTCCAATTTTTCCTTACTTATTTGTATACAAACTTTTTTGATTTTATTCATCAGACTTATTTTATTGTAATTATTTTCCAGGGCTGAAGATTGTGTAAATGGAACGTTTATAGAGAAAAAGACAATCCCCAAACCTGCAGTGAATTTTACTACATTTCTGGGCTTTTATGAGAAGAGTCTGATCAATCCTGTTGACCCCACAAACATTTATCTACCTTCACAGCACTCACTAACCATCTACAATTCTTCGCGGCTTTACATCAATCTTGAGGGCTGTGTCAACACTCTCCGAGGCGAATGTCGAGATTTTCTTCAATCCCATGGCCGAGATGGTGATAATCAAACTGCACAAAGTCGATATCCTTGTTACTTTAACAAGGTAACTCTCAACAACTCAATCAATTAATTTTTTGTTGTTTCACCAGCATAAGGAACTTGTTTCAACAAGAAAAAGTTTATTGTAAACGGAAATACTCTCATTATGATTTTTTTAAACAATTTCCTTTTTTTTGCCATCATTATTACTGAATCCACCATTACAGCTTCATTTCTTGAGATCAAAAGTTTAAATATTGGACTGGAAATATTCCTTTGTTGTGAATTTTTTCAAATAAATTTGATAGCTAAATATCAATTATTTAATCTTCTTTTTTTTTTAACAAAATAAAAGAAACTTGATGTTATCAACTTATTATCATATTTTTATTAATGAAGTAAAGAAAACAAACGTAAATAGCTTATTCTTGTAATCAATTCTTTTGCTGAGTATTTTTTTAAAATAAATCAGTTCAAATTACTGCAAATTAGCATCTATTTTATGATTATTAATGCTAAATTAATTATTGATTCATTTAGTGATAAAATTAGCACTTGGTAATCAATTAATAATAGTTATTAATTTACAGTGATTTGAACTTATTTATTTTAACAAAGTAACATTGAATATTGCTTGGCTATAAACTAAAAGATATCAAATACAAGTACTATAGTATAATAAATTTGAATGATTTTTCAGAATGACTCGTTCTTCGTTGTTGCACGATTCGACTTGAATAAAACACGAACCGACCTATTAATTGCCACGATAGTTCCATCCGTACTGTTTGTCGTCAGTCTTACTAGTCTCATTATCATTACACGCGCAGTAAAGGTTGGAGATGATGCTAAGATGCGATGCCGATACTGCACAGATAAACAAACACGTGAAGAAGAGGACGAAGGACTTGTTGAAGGGAGTTCCTCAACGCCCCAAGGTATTTTCAATGAAACGGAAGTCCGAAGTATGGCACTTTAGCAGTTTAAAATAAATATTAATCACTCAAGAAAATATGAGAAACTGCCTCTAATTGATATTGATCAAGCTGAAGACTCATTCTAAGTTTACTTTGATAATTTATTATTTATAATTATAAAATGAACATCCCGAAGTACTGATTCTAAATTCATTAATTATGTATCGTTATCAATATTGCAAAACCGATAATTGTCTTCCTTTTTTATTGCGTTTACTATAATTAATGTTAAAAAGAAAGTCTCGTAAATTGTACACGTTAAAATCATACTCATTACTCCACTCTTAGGGGCCAACATAATGTAATTTTAATATTTACATAACCGTTGTATGCCTTTGAAAAAACTGCTGAAACGTTGAGAGAGAGAAAGAAAAAGAGAGAGACGTAAGAAAAAAATGACAAAAAGTCTGGTAAAAAAATTACCTGTTCTTTACACAATATGTATGTGTATATGTATATACATCTGTGTACTAAAGGGAAACGCTTAAAACACTTTGATCAATTTTTTTTTTTTCATTCAAGGACGATGCGTAAACACTCGTTTGTTATCATTTCGAAATAAAGATTTTATGTTCTTTATATTAAAAAAAACAAGAGGCACAAAAAGTCTTCATGTACTTCAGATACATGTATTGAAATATAAATTGAAATTTTAATCGAAGTCGAACGAATATGTACTTGTCGGTCTATAAAAAAAATTACAGACTTTACCGATCGTGCATATCGAGCAATTTTAAGACTTGCAAGATATTAAGTAACATTATTATAATTATTACATCGGTCTACATTTACAAATTTACATTTTGGCTACTACGTTCAAATTTTTACTGTATTATAATTATTACTACTATATATCAAAGATAATGATTAAGCACTCTATGATAATAATTGATGTAATCACTGATTCAAAAGAGCTATTTTACATTCTTGAAGACAATTGAGAAACAATACTCCGAACAAAAATTTTAATAAATAATTATACACTAGTTCAGAAGATTTGAAAAAATAATAAATTTTTTTAACAAAAAATAAATATATTCTGAATTTTGTCCAAGAGTGACTGATATTATATTATATTATTGCAATGTTGATTGTAAAACTAAATGCTAACAAAAACTGACTTTTCAGAAGGAGTTTCAGCTAATGCTTATCATAAAATAATTTTTTACTGTACTCACTACTGTAATTATACAATTCAAAATGAATTTACCAATCAATTTTTCTACTCATGTATTAAGTACCATAATATTTTGATGGATATATTAAATATTCATTTTCTGACTGTTTTGCTATTCAATAATAACAATCGAATATTTGCTATAAATATATATCACTGAAACTCTTTCGGCCTAATTATTATTATTCTCTATTATTAACAAAAAAAATCATGGAATCCAAAAAAGCGTAAATAAATAACAAAAAAACATACCATTAAATATGAATAATAAAAAATAAACTGGAGTATCAGCTAAAAATATTTTTTTACAAAATTGGAGCAATTGAAGAAATTTATTAACAAAAGAGTATATATTTAATATTTAAATGGAATTTATGACATTTCTTTACTGATGCGGCTTAAAAAAAATATATGTTAGTTATTTATTGACTATTTGAATATGGTTCAATAATGCACTGTCCTATATGTGCCTTCTTCCATTTGTTTCAGCGATTTTTATTGTATTTTCTTGTATAAGTGAACATGTATGTGTCTATCATTCAAACAACGAGAGAAAATGTCCATAATAAATAATTGTATTTATGTAAAATTGTACACTTTTGCAATATACAGCTTACGATATTTTGAACTCAGATATTCCTACCATCCATTTATAATCTAATGTACGGATTCAATAAGTACTAATTACATCATAAGTTATGCTCTATTTATATAAAATATTGAGATCTCATACAATATAATTTTCGACACATATTGCAAAATTTTTGAATGAACGATATATGATACAATAGCCATATTATATACTAATAAGTTCAATCATTATCATTGATGAAAGTAGACTTGGAAAGTATGGAATGCATACATAGAATCTACTCTATAATATAACTACTTTATTATGACATCCATTTTAATGTCTATTATACACGTACTTACTGCTATTATTACACTTGAATCTAACTTTGTATCAAATGGTATAAATATATGTATATGTGCTAAATAACTTTTCATTTTTTGTTTGTAATATGAAGAAAATTATATATTTAATGAGGCATAGAATTTACAAGAGAGTTTAGCATCGAAACATAAATTAGCAAATTTCAGTGTGATGTTGATTTATGATTGTTAAACTCGAAGCTTATTTAAAAAAAGCCATGTTCTGCAATAGCCATTAGAAATATATGAGCTAAATAATTATTTTATTAACTGAGCAGCTAGATAATGCAAATTGTATTCAGTCAATAGAAAAGATGCTTGACTTTTAAAGTTTAGATGCTCTAGTGGATGCATGTCTTTAAAAATATGAATAATGCTTTAGAGAAGAATATTTTTAAGAAATAAACTCAAAACATAGTTGCAGAATAGAATGTTTCTGTACTGACCATCAGCTTTTTATGTAACGTTTGATGTAGTTGGTATTAAAGTTTAAAATTATTTCATCAATAAATAATGCTTCTTAATTTATTACGTTTTAATGTTATCTGTCTAACATAATTGCAACAATTTTTAGATTTATAGATTGTTGCAGGACTGGGTATGAGTTCATTTGGATTCAAATATCTTACATAATTTGATTCGCTTAAATTATATTAACCCATTAGCATTTATGATGTTGTGAACCCTCTAAGTAATTTATGCTCAGAGGAATTCGAAAAAGAAGTTTAAAACGTCTTAATCTTTTTTTCGAATGTTTTAAGAATAAAATTTAATTCCCCACGATATAAAATAAACTCTTTGAAGATGTCTTGAGCCTTAATGGTATATAAACTGATTATAAAACCTCTATACAAATATATGAATGATAAATTTCAACAACAAGCTTCAATGCCAATTATTTCAAACAGACAGTGAAGCTATCACGAAGATGAAAGGTAACAACAGAAAACTAACATTTCAAAACCAAAAAAAATTAATAAGTTTATTGAAATCAATAAACTTGTGCTACTATCCTTGAAATAAATCGATGCAATTCCTCATTATGTCATTATGCCATATTATATTACATGTACGTGAATAACACATACATGAGTAAATGTACTTTTTTTTATTATGAAGAGTCTATCAATAGCTATATTATTCTTATAGGAATATGACGTCCACTTACCTTCAGCTCTTCTTGTCGACGGTATGCATACAGCATCAATTGTTTACGTGCTTCCTCAGACATCAAAGGCTCGCGTGCTGGACGACCTGATCCTCGTTTCTGTAGCTTCACTACTATCTTTGTCTTTTCATTTGGTCCAACGTAATCTTTAAGCTTTTTACCACGCAACATTTCTTTTCCCGAAAACCATAATTGACTCATCTGCAGATCTATTACCTGTACATAATTGAAATATTGTTTAACTGCCTCCTTTCACGCAAAATTTATGTTGATAATACCTCCAGCGAAGCTTGAGTACCACTTAAGTCTTCAGTATTTTCAAATTCTTGACGAATAATTTCCTGGGGTGGCAATCCCATGGGATAAACTATCATTATTGCTCCGCGTAATAAATCTAAGGCTTCTTGGACTGTTTTTAAAGTTACTAATTCCTCTTGATTGACAAGTTTCTGAAGAAAATCAAATGGAATTATTAGTTTTTATTTTTCAATAATATCAGTAATGTTTTGAAGATTGAATCGAGTAAATTTACTAATATGCAAACAATCAACTGTTTAGTGGAACTTCAATTAAATTTTTCTTTAATACTAAAATTATTACTACAAATTAATTTACTTTGACTTATTAAATTTTAATAAATAAAATTGAAAAAATATTTTAAAGATTTAACATAATTATTTGAAAGAAACATGAAAAAATTTCATTAAAAAATAGAAGTGAAATTTTCAACTTTACTTCAATTTTTACTAAATTTTTTATGCATAAAATCTTATAACTTTGATTTTTATATTCTGATAAAAATAAGCTAAATTTACAACAGCAGTAAAAATTATAAACTCTCCATGAAAGAATAAAAGTTTTAAATTTTTTAAACTAAAAAGTCTGGAAATATTCAGAATTACGTCTTTCTATCCTTTTAACTTCAAGAAGCTCTGATGTAATGAATAAAAAGATGCTCTTTAACCATAGAATATGACTTGTTTTCTCTTAAAATTTTATTTCACATAATCATTTTATAATACAAAACTTGAATGACATTCATTCAGCGTTTTTCATATTTTTCTGTAGTTTACTTTAATGAAATGAAGAAATTTTTTAAACTTTCCATGCAAAGTCAACTTTAATTTTAAAAATATCAAAAAATCTTGTCAACTTGTCTCAGTTCATAAAGACTAATAATAATAATGAAATTCTTATCTAGGCTACCTTTGAAGAAAAAATATCAATCACTCTGATCTACTTTTCATTATATATAATGTTTAAGAATTTGATAATTAAATAAAAAAATTATACAAATATTTTTGTTATTTATTTATGGAGAAAAATTTTAATTAGAGGAATAGCCTTGTTAATGACCTTGTTCTACATTCGGATTTAATTTGATATCTTCTTTATAATGAAAATTATTGTGAAAGAATATAGACTGTTAGTTGATGTTAAAGTATCTCGGATGAATATTACAATATCCTTCTTGTGTTCATTTAATATTTCCTGTTAATTATAAAACGATTTTTATTCAAACTATCGAGAATGTAAGTTAATCTACATACTAGTAATTTCTTGATGCATCTATTCTATTTAATTTAATAAACAATTTTCTAGATCACTGTATCATTGTAATTTTGTCATTGTTCATTAAAAGTTGATTAATTAAAAACATAATCACCTAAATTCGTATCAAAATAATAAAGCTAGAGATAAAAGGGCGTTTATTTCCCAAGAACTTTCCATGAGATAGTTGGGAATTAATTTCAAGTTTGAATGGCATAACTTTTACCATGTTAGTAGATACGTAATATGATACATTACACTCGTATTCATTGTGAATATGTAATTTCAATGTTCAACAATATAATTAATCTAGTCAAGTAGAATAAATGCAATAGGTGGGACAAAAGTAATAGCTGCCGTTAATCACTTTTACATCAGTTTTCTTAAGATTTTATTTTGTTTATGTAAAACTGCTGTAGAGAAAATATGATTACTTTTAGTTCACTTGCTAGATATTCTACTTGACCTTCTTTTAAAAAAATTATATTAAACCAACAAATATGTTTAAATCGATAATTAAAAAAATCTAGCAAGTAAGCAACATCGTTATATTCCAGAATTTTTTTATGCTTTGAAATACTAAGGAATTTTTAATGTTACTGAAAAAAAGTGCATAACCATACTTTATTTAGAATTGGACATTTCAGTACCCAACTTATTTAAGTACTCAATGAATAATCATCAAAACTTCAATAAAAAAAATTTCTGGTCAACTTTATAGTAATGTATTACCTTAGATATCATGTTTTGAGCATCTTGGACTGCTTTCGACAATACCTGTTGCATTTTATCATTTGGTTGACGACCATTTCTACGTCCTTAATATAAAATAATTTTAAAAAATGCATGAAACAATTTGTTCATTAAGTTTTTTTTAACCCCTAAATTGGTAAAAAAAAAAATTAAAATCTCAATAAAAACTAAAATTCTTTTTTCAATCATACTAATAAATAATTGAATTTTTATTTCAGTTAAAAATCTGTTTTTTTTTTTTTTTTTATATTTCTTGCCTTTTTAACGAGCTCTTTAAATACAAATGAGCTCATTGAAAAGATTTCCATCGTCAGACGTGATACTTAATGGTGTCGTTCGAATTACATCCAAATTAGGGGTTAATTAAAAGAGGTTAAATTGATGCAAGTCAATTGATTTACCCATAACATCTTTATTAAAAGTCCATCCACCCATTGGACTACATTTCTCACCCCATTCATCTTTCAATTTTAACTCTTCAATTTGTTCATCAGTTAATCCCATCATATTGGACGGTAATAGCATACCGTGTTTAATAAGTTGTTCTATCTCTGTTTTGTAAATAAATTAAAAAATATTATATTGACTAATGAAAGTAAGTATTATTAATAAAGGGATTATTATAACATACCATGACTTATTCGCATAACTTTTAACCGACCATTATAAATTATAGTAACTTCATTAATTATTTGATCAATAGAACAATCTACAAATGTATCATAAAGGAATTGACTTTCATCACCTTTTTTGATATGCAAACGGACCATTTTTGTTTGATTTTTGATTGGAATCAAAATGCAAAAATTACAATCACTGATGCTTCAAGAGTCAAGTGACTTGTTTAAAGTGTTGCCTAGACAACAACGGTGCAATTTAGGATATTGACCTTAACCCGCCATCTACAACATTATCAATGGGAAATAAATTTAAACACCCAAAAACATAATTGAATTATTTTTACATATTGTCGATATATTGTAATATACATATTTACAATTGATAACACATTGATTACAAGAATATAGACTCAATATTTTTCAATATTATGACAAACTTTGATTTCCATATATATATATATATAATATTTATATATATTTTTCAACACCTGTACAATTCACAACATGGACATTGATATTTTTAAAATTTTTTATCAACTTTTAAAGACAGTTTATAATCAATTAAAATCAATATACTCATTTCAGTCAATGTATGGACGTATATAACTAAATTAAATGACTAGTTGTAAGTAAATTAAACGTAATGAAAATTATTCATATTATAATGTATTTTTATAAACATTATTATGATATATTAATATTAGCATATATGGCCTGTGATGATTATAGACACAAAATTATAAACATTATTGTAGGATTATATAAGTAATGATCCCATTTTTCCAGGTACTTTGAATAATTAATGCTGTACAATAATACATATTTATCTTTCATACATTAAATTGATAAACATACATATAGATATGTAATTACTGCAATTTGTATAATTTAGTAAACGAACTTTATAGTTATTTGCTAGATTAATTACACTATAAACGTTATTTATATATAATAGACAGTAGATAAAATAATAAAAATAAACTGATATTTGGTCCAAAAAAATTATAAAAAATTCTTACATAAATATATACGTATAAAGAATGTACGTAGCTACAAAAAATATTAACATAGTGTCTTATTTTCTTAAATATTTTCACTTTTGATTAAATAATTTATTCAGATCTTCATTCTGATTGGGTTTAAAAAATATAATTGGATCATTTCTTTGCTGCTTTCTAGCTAAATATCATTTGTTTTAGATCTTTTTTACTTTATTTATATTGGTCTTGGTATTTTAATTGATATGAAAAAAATATCAAATAAATATGATACATTTAGGTTCGTTATCAGTTATTTAAAATGTAAATGTTTGTCGTGGAGATATTTACTCTTGATTTGTTGCTGAGGGAACCGTTAAGAAATCCATGTCATCTCTTGATCCCGATGAATAATCAGATGCAGTGGATTCTTGCTCGAAGACTTGTGATCCGTACAATGACGAGCATTGTACGGAGGCGTTATCTCAGACTTTACTTTCGGGACCGTCGGTAGTGTGCTTGAAAGAATTGCGGATCTTACTTAAATAAAGGGCCGCAATATGGCCATAACTTTTATTATACCATTCTGGAGTCCGTCCCTTTGTATCTACTCTGGACAAATGCATTATACGTGACTTTCCACTACCACATTTTTCTATTAGATAACGTGAAGCCAATACAATCCCACGAGTTCCACCCGGCATTACTGGTGCATCCGGATGTTGAACGGATGTTTCTACAATTACACAAGCGTCCTTGGGTAGATCCGTACGCCAAGTCCTCAGAACACAATAATCTCGAGCAGGTAATGGACACATATTCCCCGCAGCGTATTGAAAAATTTCTGCATTCGTAGCCAATTGCTTTACCACTCGAGATTTCAATAGCTGTGGATCCCAAATGTGTCTCTCTTTCAGTACACGATGGAGTAATTCATGAGGTGGAGCCTCAACTTCCGTTGAAACACGCCAAAGTCGAAGTGGATGACCATCTCCAACTTTTTTATATGCCATTTCAACGCTAGTATCCGCAGGATTGTTAACTGTTACCCAACCGCGACTCCTGTAATCATTCAAATTATTTTGATTAATTTTCACAACATAATAAGTTTGAAGATTTATTATGTAGTAAATAGAATAAAACCTACTTCTCACGTGCTTCTTTCAACAAAGCGTTCGTACAAGCATGCATATATCCACTCCAGTCTTGCTTCATTTCAGATCCCAATTCCTCCAATCCAACTGGTACACTCTCCTCCATGTAGTTAAAGTGGCACTGCGTCAGCATGTCTGAAGAAATCTGAAAGCCAATGTACAGTCAATCAATAAACAGTCAATAAATCAATCAACCATTCACATTCCTTTGATTGTTATAATAATTGAGTGACACAATAAAAATCAGAATCTTACCATGAATAATTGACGATGCGTTTTTATTAGATACAGAAGACAGTCATAAGCAGCTTTATTTTCTGATAACTCTCGTTGATCTACCATGCCAACAGTTTTTCTTCTCCGAGGTGATACACTACTTGATCTGTTAGTTACATTTGCATTGCTGTGATTTAAGTGGAATAGACTTGGCGCTAAACATACTGCCAAATTGAAAGCAGTCATCTGATTGTATGGTGCATTACTTGCTACTTGATGCAAAAAGTCTAAAAGTGTTTCTAACGCTTCACGATGTTCATCAGGTAATAACAACAGAACACACTGTACTGCATCTGGACGTAATTCTGGAGGAACATGTTGGAAAATGGCAATAAATGTTTCTGACAGTTTATTAGTAAGCAAAGCTTCTGGTAATTCTCGGAAATATTGTTTAACTAAATCGGCCACATCAAACGCTTGTTGCCCATCAAAGTTTATATTATCACCTTGAGTTTCCGTCATTGCTTTTAACTTTTGTATCCTTGACCGCATACCACTCTTCCTGAATATACCAACTTGATCTAAAGCATTAGTTCGTAGCCACCTCAAAGCTATTTGAATACATTTAGGTAAGGCTTGTCCTGTCCGTTGCAACGATAAAAGTAATGGAACACCAAAAACAGTTTTGTCTTTGTAATCAGGTGATTTAATTTTTCGGATAAATTTTGGTAATTCCCAATTCCATCCAGTACGATGCGTAGGACAATAGCGTTCCATGCATGCTGTAAGCTTCAACAACGATAGCTTCCTTAGAACAAGCAATTGACCGCACGACATAGATGCCATTGCTCTGTTACATAGTGGATTTAGTTCAGGATATAAAGAACCTCTTTGAAAACTGTGCCACCTTACAACAGTACTTTTGTGTCTTGGAGATTCATCCTCTTGATCTGAGTCTCGACTAGCCATCGTGGAACTGCTCTCTTGACTATCAGCCAGATCCGAACTTCTTGACCCAGATTTTTCTCGATACACTGTCACTTCTTTCGACAACTGTTTGCATTCTTTTAAAGAGTCATCTCGAGTGTACCTGAAGCTTTTGTGAAATTTATCTTCTCGTTTGAGTACGGCTACTTTGTCCTCTTTATATTTTGATTGACTTAATTTATCACGAAAACCCTGTGATTCTTTGCCGAGATTGAGACTCCCACCTCGAGTGTTTATTAGAGCTGATTTTCCGGTATCTTTTAATGCTTGAGGATGAGGAATAACATACTCAAAGCCTTTAGTATTATTACTGTTAGCATCTTTAGATAAATACTTGTGTCTCCAGCTGGATGGTTGACATTCTGAATCACTCAAAGCACCTTGATCATCACGCCCACGATGAATTAATTTTTTTGCTTTGTTTAATCTGATCCTTGTTGGTGTTAAAGTGGGTCCACCACCTTGTGAACCATCTGAACAATAACTTGATGAGTCATCGCCAAAGGGGCTCACTGATGTCTGATTACTGGATGCCAGGTGATAAGGTGAAGGTGGTAAAGTTAATGGCGATACTGATCGATTGATGGGTGACGGTGGAAGTAAACTTCCAAAGGAAACTGGTGCCGGCCCAGTTGGAGAAACATCTACGCAGTTAAGATCTTTTACCTTCTGCTGCATCGATATAGCATCCAATACTTGTGGTCCACTGATAACGATCCCCTCACGGTTCTGCCGTTTCCTTCGGCGTGATTTTAATGACTCAACACGTCTGAGTAACGCTTTAGCTCCATCACGAAGTCGCTCTGATCCAGTTCGACGAAACTTGGTGTTTAATTCATCTGAAAGTTGGTTTAGAGCAATATTTTCAAACTTCATGTTACTATCAATCATTGTATCTTCTGATTCTTCAGCCTCCAAACGATCTTCCAGTGTATCTGTACGATTAAGTGCAGCAATAGCTTGAAGCCTTTCAACATTAGCTTGACTGATATCACAAATCCTAGACCATCTTCTAGTCTTTTTTTCATAGGTCCAATTCTCGCTCAAAGCACACTGAGTATCTTCATCTGAATCGTCACCTCCACCCTGTAACAATGAATGTATATAACTAGTAAATAATGGATCAACAGACTGTGAAAGGGATTACAAAGGGTCGGCTTAATTCAGCAAAAAAATAAGAGGGTCGTGTCCGTGTCACTCGTGAACTCGTGGGTTATAGCTACTTTCAAAGCCTCCTCTCTTCTTTCTTTATTTTCCTCACCCACTCAAGTTCGTTACGAAACTTGACGCCTTTGTCACGAGTAAAGCAGAGATACATAGGGAAAGAGAAAAGCAAATGTATGGGGCTGTGACCTGACCTCGTGTGACAATGGACCTAGTTTCTCTGCATATACCGGGATACTTTTCACCTACTTAATCGACCAATAGTTTCTCAAAATGGAAAGCAAATTTCCAATAGTTGTGATCTAATTTTCCTTGTCAACCGTATCAAGCAGATGATAAATTGATGATGTAATCAGAAAGCATTTGTTGGGATTTCGACAACTTTGAGTAACAAATCCTCTTTTGTAATCGAGTACAATTATTGACGATTGATAAATTCAGTGTCTGCCAATTATTCTCGATGTATTTATGGAGTTGGTACTTTTTCTCTTTGAACATTATATATTCTTTCCCTTATCCTTATTTCCGTTCCAGCACGTAACCTTCACGACGTGACGTGTTTTTGCTGGTACGTGAGTTATTTTTGCGGGTTCATTCACCGGTATATACCTTGTTACTTACTACATCCTCTTCCTTTGTTCCTCTACGTGTGACAATATGTACTCAAATATAATAGTTATCAATATCATTGTATTGTATCATATATGAAAAGACTCCACTCACTGTGATCTAAGAGAAATAAATGAATCGAAAGCATTACATGCAGTGGGTGTACGGAAAATGATGTACCTATAGTGTGGCTAAAGGAAATAAATAATTTTAAAGTGATATATACTGTGAATCTAAGGGTAATAAATGATTTTAAAGTGATGTGCCTGGTGAGTCGAAGGGAAATAAATAATATTCAAGGATTGTATCTAATGGGTTGAAAGGATATAAATTATCGAAAAGGAATGTCGGTATGTTTGACCACTAAATTTCGTTTGTTTGTATTTTGGAATTTATTGTTTTTACATTTTTTGCGAAATTTTGCAGTATAAATTATTTATTTGTGGAGAAACATTAAATTATGTTGGATGTAATTTATTTTATTCAAAGGAATATGAATTAGTAGAATTAATATGATACAGGGAAAATAAGAAAATTTTGTATTATTGGAAAAACAATAGGTGCTTTGCTATTAACTAACGATCAATAAGTTTAAAATAATTTATCTAACAAACAATATAAAATGGGAGTGGAATATTATTTTTATAATATGGTAATAAATAAAACAAAGCATTTGAGTAGTGGATGAAAGCGAAAAAACGAGAAAATATTGATCAATAAAGAACAACAAGCAAAAAATAAATGCTATTTTATTATAAAGTGTTTCTTAATCCAGCCTTTTGTTCCTTTCAAATAGTAGAGTTTTATCATTGCTGTATAAGCAACTCTATATAAAACCTGATGTAATATAATCGGTATTATACCAAATATAATTTTAAACAATTTGTTAGCATTCTATCATTTTGATGACTTTGATGGTTACACATAAATAAGTCAAATATCATCATTTTTAATACAAACTTTTAATTATTTTTTTGTAAATATAATTTAATCTAAATTTCATAATTATTTGTTTATTCGGTATACCTCTCATGAGATAATTCAATGGCAACATTTTATCTTACTTTCAACAAATATTTCTCTAGAATATGATATAATCTAATAATTGTGCTGTCATTTTCATACCAGCTCTATCAAAATTAGTAGGAAACAATGTTCATGTCACGGTAATAATGAAATGACTAATGACAAGAGTATTTAATTGGAAATAATATTCATCTCCTCCAACATGAAGAAACTTATTTTTCTCAACTTTAAAATTTTAAATTGTTTCAAATTTTCATTCTCGATTAAACAATTATTTTCTTTTAAACTTCTTATAACAAACAATCTTTGGATAAATATCTGAAGCTTTGAATTGAAAAACTATTGTTAGATTTCATCAATTACACTCAACCTATTTTTGCAATATTTCAATTGAATTAAATCATAAAAGCAGGCCATCAAAGTTTTAGCTAAAAGCCTAAAACATCAGTCAATTTATTATTCAACAAATAAAAAGATCATCACTGCACTAAATGTCAACAATAATTAATTGGAATCAAAATAAAAGTAATCTACAAGTCCTACATGGAGTTGATTGATAAAAATAATTTTTCATTCAAAGGAAAAAAATCTTCAATGAATGAATAAAATCTCATCATGTGTAAAACTTTACTCCAATAAAAATAAACTTTTTTATTGGTGGATTGGATGTAACAGATTTAAAGGAAATCGATAGCATCAATGAGCTTTATCTTGAGAGACTCTAAGGAAATAACATCCGATTAACCGTGGTCTCTCTCTGGTCTAATTTGATGTGAAAGGGTCATTTTGACCCTGTGATATTTACATTAGCACTAAGTAAAACCCTAAAATCTCATTAACCATTATATTACTTGATAATTATGTGGGAAAACTTGAATGTGCTAATATTATAATATTTATTATGTAATGGTGAAAAAGTTAATGTACGAACAATCATTTGCATAGTCAAGTGTTTGTAACATGATAAAAAAAACTTATCAAGGAGATTGAAAAACCCTGAAGTGTCATATGAAGAATAAAAAAGTTTCCTTTTTATCTAACAGTTAAATCTAAAAAAAACAGTTTGTTAAATTCATAGTAAGTTGTTTTTCATCAGAGAATGGAAATGTAAACACGCTGAAAATTCCAAGGTTTTAAGAGCCAAATGATTTCGAAATTGGAGGTCAAGCATACACGAACGAACAATGGAGTAATTGGAATTCCAAAAGGGTTCGATTTCTGACCCATTGTAAACACAATCCTATAAATCAATTGTACTAATGAATGTTAGAGAAACAGAGAAATTAAAATACTTAAACCTGGTGGGTCGATGATTAATATTTAATTTCAAAAAGGTATATTGTTAGTATAATCAAAGAAAATAATTGATTGATAAGGAATAATTTCATTACATTGCACACATCATGAAGTACTTGCTAAATACATTAATCAAATATTCTCTCTTCAGTTGGAAGTTGCGATTTTTTACTAATTCTGATTGAAGAATTAATAGAAAACTGAGATGAATCTTACTCTTCTCATCGTTATTATTATGTTTTTTTAATAAAATAAGGAGAGAATTTTTCTTAGATACATGGCATATTTTTCGATATGAAATACCACTTGAGAATTCCAAAAGTAATTCCATTATTTTTTTTATTATTCCATTGGATGAAGAGAGTTTTATTTTTCAATGATGAAATTTTATTTCATAAATGAAATACTTCAAGAATAACAATTAAATCATTTCTATCATGACAAGTCACTGATCTTTACACTTAAAAAAACATTACTCTAAGAATTATTAAATCGATTAAAAAAATAATGTAATTATATCAGTAATTATTGTATGCATACAATATTATGAACAATAATATATTCATTTGATTAATTAAAAACAAAATTAAATTATGTAACTGTTATTAGTAATTATTATTCCCAGGTAAAAAAATGTTCAAAAATAATTAATTGTTAAAGTTTAATTTGAAAAATAATTGTATTTAATAAATTGATAATAGAATGTAAAAAAAGTCGTTTTGAATTAAATATTACGAATACATTTTTCGAAGTGAATAAGGTCATTTCCTACATTCCTCTTAAGCTTCCAGATATTTTATATATGTACGCATTTGATTACAAATTAACAATTGACACTTTACTTTTATAGTTACATGATAAAAGCAAATGTCTCGATAAAATAAGCAAAATTCTGATTTTATTACACCAGCAATTTAGAAGATATTACACCGATAACTTATGTCAACTGAGTGTTTAAAATTCACATTTTATCGGTAGTTTAGTTTGATCATAATAACACGCCATAAAACCTATATGGTTATCCTCTAACTGTTTTAGGTATACATTGATTTTGTTTTATATTTTTATTAAAATTTTCAAAAGCAAAATGTTATCATGGTTTATGTATATCTGAAGCTAAAAAAGGATACTTTCGTGATATTTTTATATTCATTTATTTTATTCACAAAGAAGAATTCAATTTAAAAATGAAATAACATTATCATCTTAATCGATTGTATTGTTTCAGTGATCCATAAATTCGAGAACACTGAAAGACAGGAAGTTATAAGCTGTGACCCGACCTTTATCTAGTAATTTTAAGCTTTTTTTTTTAGTTTATAAAATAAACCTCCTAATAATCAATAATATTGATTTTAAATAATCTAATATTATGCTGTATTTCAAAAACATGTTTTCGATTCCTTTGTGTATGAATTGCTAATCAATAAATACAATTTTTATCTCAAAAAAATGTATCTTCCCACCTGACGTACTTCTTTGGTCAAAGAGATTTTTAAATTTGAATAAATAATGACGTCAGTGAAGATACTGGGATAATTTATTCATTATACGTTTCAATAATAATTAGTGTATTGGTAAATATAACATGATTGAATTTTTTTTGCAATCAGCATTGTAATCAAAAAGAAATCATAAGCGTAATAATGCAATTATCGACTGAGTATAAAAGCAAAAAGATATTTCAAAAGAGAATATAATGCCTCCAGTTAGCCAATTATTCAAATATACATTAGTAGAGTTGAAATTTTTATTTTTCACTGTATTTACAATTAGCTAAATAATTCAAATAATTGGATGTAGTTAACAGCAAAAAAAAACAGTTGTACAATTAACGTATTCGAAAATGAAATATGAGTTGTAAAAAGTTTAACAAATTTAAGAGATGTAAAATGATGGATACATTTTGTCCAATGTAATTCTATTAATTTTTTTTATTCAAAATTAATGATGAAATTTATATTTTTTTAAATTAAACCTTGATCTACTTGAGAATTATTTGGTCTTTTTTTGTTAGGATGGTTTTCTTTGTTGAAATTAATAAATTTTTACAAGATAGAAGTAGAAGAATAGTTTTAAATAACATTTAGATTTTTTTTAAGGAGAAAATTATTTTTATAAATTTCTTTTTAATAAGTTCACACAACTTTGTAATCGTTTTACGAAAAGAACTGTTAATTCTTGAGAACGTTAGACAAACTTTGAGGGACAGTTTTTTTGTCCTATATAGTGATGAATCAAGTCAAGGTATTAAAACTTGAGAATCATTCTAGATGATTTTCGAAAAGTATCTTTGTTTCCCTGTGAATAAAAAAGATGCTTATATACCGTAAGATCAGAAAAATGATATTGACTTTACTTTGGAAGAATTCTTCTATTAATAAAAAAAAATGTCATCAAGATGAATTAGAGTTTTATTAACAATAAAAGTAACGTTTCCTAGGGTCAAGTCTTTTTTTTTTTTTTTACTATTTGCTTTGTTAAATTATTCACAGTTCATTGGTATAAAAAAAAGTATAATTTTCATTTAAAAAAGATGAATATTGAATGTATTTTTAATTTATTGAAGAAATTAAATTGTTTTTATTTCATTTCGTAAGGAAATGAAATTTTTACACTTTAATTAATAATCAATTTATTACTCATCAAAGAGTATCTTTCAAACTTTTTTCTTAATACATTGTTAAATAATTAAATTCAATATTATTTTACTTCACTTTTTTGATGATAAAAAAAATCTATTTTTAAAAATTAAAAAATTACATGTTTCACTTTAGAGTGAAATAAAAGTTAAAAATCTACTTTCAATGATTTCAAAAAGTATTAAAATAAATAAATTGAAATAAAATCAAGTGATTTTTCCTTGAGATATGATTCCCACGAATTCTTTTTACATAAAATTCTAGCTGTTCAAAAATTTCGAATCTGGGCTTACTATTCCAAAAATACGTATTTTTACCAACTTTTTCTTGAACTCAATTTAAAATTCGTGAAGATATAAAACAAGATAATCGATTAGCAAATTCCACTATTTTAACTGTTTCGAGATAAACTGCTTCCTGAAAGTATGTTAATTTTATTCGTCTCTATTTTAAAATATGAATTCAACTGAATTTTGCAATCTTAAATGAAAACAGCCAAAAACCGACTTTCGCATGTAATGCAATTAAAAGTTAAATCGATTAACATATGATAATTAGATAAAAAAATTTACAATAAGTTTGAAATAATGCTGCATCAATGCAATCGAAAGTATTGGACCATAATTGTTGAAATAAGTAGGTTTCCAACACTCGTTATACTTATTACTTTTAATGTTATTCATTTAATACTGCCGATTCACGCTGGAAAAAGTTAAATGCAGATCACATCAGGGTTGATTTTAACTGCAAAGTTGTTAAGATGGTAATTATCATGATCGCTCAACAGCAACGATAAAGGTGGTTACGTGACTTTATTTCAGCACTAACGATGAGAAAGTATCGCCGGCTTTTTTATGCACTTCGAATTACATTCGATCTTCAGCTGATTCGATGTTGGATTTGAGTGATGTATCTTGTCTTTTAATGATACCTTTTCTAATCTAATCATAATCTCATTATCACCGCTAAATGCACAATTTTTTAAATGCCATAATAACATGCGATAAGTATCAACACTACGGGAATTCTTTCAGACATATTGTGGTATCATATCTCTACATCTTTCAAGAGATTTTTAAGTACAACTGTACGCAATAAGTCCTTGTGAAAAGAATTGTTTAAGATTTACCAACTGATTTATATCTTTGAATAACTGCCTAGTGAGTTTAGTTGTAAATAAACAAATATGATTAACGTGAAGAAAAGATTTGGAAGTGTGATCAACATCTAGATTGTTATCACAACTTGGTAAATTTTGAAAATTTTTTTTTTTTTTTCAATCATAACTTGTCATTTTTCAACGTGGACAAGTAGCATATTACCGTATTTAGTAATTCTTATTCTCGTACCTGTTTGTACCAGTTAAACTCGTATAGAACTTGCACTCACTGCAGTATATAAAATCACTGAAGGTGATCGGTATACAAGTATACGCAGGTGCTCGAAACCGTGCCGCGCAGTCTGTTGCTCTCTTAGTATATAATGTAGACTCACGACAGAAACGGTAGCAGTTGGGTAGCAGATATACAGGAATACCAGTTTTCTACTTTTATATATACACAAAAGCCGCTGATTGGAAGCTGTGTATATGAACGTATGTTTGTAATTACAGTGTCTGGTTGATATGTATGTACGTTATAAAAGCTGACCGCAATACAACAATAACTTCAAAGCAATAGGAAGAATAACAAAGAAAATCGTTTTAAAAAAGTCCATCCATGAATTGATTTAAAAGAGACAACTAATCGAAATGGAATTGTGGTAAAAAATAAAATATCGAACAAAATGTTGGTGTAGAGTGAAAGGCTACTTGATATAAAGATTCATCACATGACTGCAGAATTAACGCTTACACTTGCGAGTCACATACAGCTTCAAGTTTGGACACTCATCAGAACCATTTATAGATGTAGAAAGTTTTCAAAGATATGGCATAATGATCTATCAAATAATTCATTGCAGATTCTTGGATCTTTAGAGTGTGTGAAAGCGTGTTGAAGATACTTGATTCTATAATGACTTGTCGAATTCAATTGAATGCGATTTTTTGTAGAATCGATATAGTATCAATTGAATTACGCTCGTTCATGATGGATGTCGATGATGAAGATTAAAATCTCTTGTCCTATCGAATAACATATATGGGAATAAGCATACAAGGACCACAGATTGACAAATGAAAAAGATGTAGGCGGGTTTCCTTGGAATTATAATACTTGTAGGTACTCACGCTTTTGCTGTGGCTCGTGTTGTGATGATGGTGGGTGTGATTCGTATCGAGTTTCATATTTGCGCAACGGTTAAGCGCATCAAGTCTCCGATACAAACTCTGAAGCGAGTCAGGCTCTAAGAAAGGATGATCCTTTGCTACACCGGACACATCGATTGGGAATTGATAATCTGTAACATATCAAAGGCATCAATTACTTAATATTGTGATGATAAAAGCTAAATGTTTACCATTTATTACAATATTATGCCAAGTTATATCATAATTATTGGTTAATTTTTGCATCATTTTTCGACCTAAATACTTTTACTTCATTTTATTATTAGCCTAATCAAATTGCTTGCTTGCTGTTGAAGAAATTACGTTAAGAGTAATCACATTATTATGGTATTAATTATGATTTAATCTTTTGGATACTGATATACATTACGTGTAATATTGTATAACTTTAATCGTATATCATCAATTTAATCATGGAAGAAAGGCTATTCACGTGTCATATCATAACTGTTCATTCAGTTTAGAATTACTCAAAGGTATTTTTATCATGGGATTCCCTCATCCTCATCAACTCTATGTTAGCAAAAATAATTATTTATCATAAAAAGAGAACAATACTTCAACTAAACTTCAATAGTTTATTAAGAGTTTCTTATAAAATCTTGCTTGTAGCTGGAAAAAACCCCCTTGTTCTGCAGTAACTTGTGATCAAAGTAATTTTTCTTTTAAAAAAAAAAACAATATGAAAATAATAAAGGATTTTCTTCTTTTATAATAGATTTCCTAGCAAATGAAAGTTCTTTGCTAGGAAATGTTTTGAATATTAAATGGAAATAAATTTTTTATTGAAATTTTTTTTATATCTAGTATTTCATAAATTTTAAATGTTGAAAATTAAGTAAAGGAAGAATTTGAACAGTGTAGTCTGCTGATTTATAACTTATTTATATAGGTCACAAGATAGAATAAAAATTAAAGGGAACTGAGCTGGAATTCTCAACACTTGCCTTTCATGTTTTTCGTCTATAGTCTCTGCACATTCATATCAATCTTACTTGACTTTTTTCGTTCTTCTGAAGACGATTCTCCGCGAAACTTGAAAGCCTTACTGTTACCAGTTTGCTGAAGACTGTTCCAGTATCTAAAAATTCTTAGTGATTCCTATCAGAGCACACAGTTACACTGCATGTTGTATAGTATACGATCAACTGACATTCTGTTAGCTGTACTGGATTACACACCGTTAATTATCAACTAGCTTAGAAGTCAAGCATCAGCACAGAATAGTAGAAATATTTTATTAATTACGAAGAAATGCTAACCGAGAATTATTTTTTTATATCATGATGATAAAAAACAAGTAAGTAGAATGCCCGTCGACTTGTTGCATTGCAAGTAAACTTATAGCGAGGTCCTTGACACGCTAGTCAAGTCTCTCCTTCTTATTCATTCACTCATTTTCTCACGCACAATTCGGAGTATTTTATAACGCACAAGTAGGTCTCTGTAGTTGAATATTATCACAAATAATAATAAACTAATGATAAATTGATGATCAACTTGGTGTAGTATTAATTTGATTTTATGACATTTTTCAAAAAAGTTTTCAATCCATTTTCAAATTGATTGAAACTATTTGATAGATGGTATGATCGATGACGAATAGCACGTGACTAATGCAAAAAGTTATGCATGTTAATTCAAGAGCAGTTCGCCTTCAACTAACAGTTCACAATACGAACACTGTATGTAACCAAACAGGAGGTCTTATCGTCAAAAAGTGGGGGCGGCTTTGAAGAACATACGAAGAAGGGGTAGACTGGTATGGTAGGAAGTTGTCTCACATATGTGGAGGGGCAAGTGGTCAGAGTGAAATAGAAGATGCCACATGAAATAAGTGTGTGATAAAGAGGTAGAATTAAAAAGATTAATAGCGACAGTGACGGTTGTATGTCTTGTACTGCATTTAGTTTAGTCTAACCGCTGTGCGTACGTTAGAAACTGAATGCAGCCGTCGACGTCACCATCAACGACGTATCTGACTAATTCAAATTGACCAAATATTTTGGATTTATTAATATAAAGTAACACGTGAATATCAAGTTAAAATTGGAACAAGGTGATGAAAGATAACAAGAGTTTGGAATAAAAATACATAACGACAATGCAAAAGTTGGATCGTCATTGACCTGATTACCCGGACAAGCTATTTTTTTAACACCTTGTAGCTTTCTCAATGTCTTTATAGATTACGGATGCTTCACATTGGCATCTTGAAATTGGATTATTTTTATTTACACATTGACAGAGATCATTACTGATGAATCTACGAGTTTTATTACTTATTGAAGGCAAACCTGCTTTTAATAACCTTTTTAATATTGAATCTGCTACAAATAATGTCAATGGACATGGATCTATTTTTAATTTTTAATTCAATCAAAAATACAATATTAATTAGAAGAGCTAAACATGATATTTTGCACAGATGATTCTCTGTCTTTCTATGCTAATTAGAGCATGATACTTTACCATCTAAAAGCAGGTAGCAAACTTTAATTTCGGGCAAATATATCAAAAATAGAATTATTGATGATTAATTTTCATAGATGTAATATTTCAGTATTTACATCACAAGTAATGAAAATTGTTGAATAATGTTGATAGATGATATAGAAATTGAATTAATTACAACTGTTATTATTAGAGTTCATTCATTGACCAAACCTGATGATCATTAATAATGTGAAGTGATAGCTGAATAAATAAGTCAATTACCTGTTTTGGAGTTTAAAAATGATGTTTTATATGCAGTTAATATATTCTAAAATTCTTGCAAATTTAATATTAAATTGTGCTGAGTTTGTAGAAATTTAGCAGATCAAGAAAATAGACATGAAATATGAAAACATTGACCTCTAAAATAGCACCAGTTAACACACTTTTAATTTTTCAAAACAGGATATTTTTATCGTAGGAGAATGTTGTTGATTTAAAAAATTAAATGAACTTATGAGTTATCTTTTCATTTTCCTTCTACTTTTCACATCCAATGAAAGTAATAAAAAAAAACGAGATATTTAAACTAGAAAGTTGAAGCTATAAAATGCTTTTTTAATTCGTGGAATATCAAGTTTTTTCGCAAACAAATTTTTAAAATTATTTCCTGATTATATGAAATTCAAATTAAGTTATATACTAGATTTATGAAAATTAAAAAGAAAAGCTATGATTAGGTAACATGAAAATAAAATCTTTTGACAACCATTGTTTGATGAATTGATTAGAACAAATGTAAATGATAAAATCATCACTGATTTCACTCAGGATGATTATAAAACAACATCTAACATTTAACAAAGAACATAGTGACTGATTTATTCAGGTAACCCACTAAAATTATTAATAATCATCGTACGATAAGTAATTTCTATTTTAAAACAATTGTTCTCTATGTTGAAGAACATTATTCATACAATATGCTATTTATAAATTTTTGTAGAGTTAATTTTTCGGTTGTATCAAAATTAAATAAAGTACAATAACCTCATGAATTGTTAACTGGAATATCAACCTGAGACTAAATATCACCAATTAAATAGTGATAATATTTATAAATAAATAACAATTTCAATAAAAAATAAATAAAGTTAGCGGAAAAATAATTAAAGCTTTATTATTATTTTATGTGCAAATTTTCTTTGATAATAAATTACTGTAAATAACAATTGAAAATACGTTTACTGTTTATTTATGGTGTAATATTCAATAATTTACGATTTTCATTAAAAAAATAGTAATCAAATCCATCTCTTAGCACATAAAACTGTATATATTTCCTTCAAATTATTTTTCTTATTGATTTATTATTTTCAACGATT